GTTTTGGTGTTTTAGCCAGAGTCAGATTCGCAGTCAGAGTCGTGGAGTTTTGGTGTTTTAGCCAGAGTCAGATTCGCAGTCAGAGTCGTGGAGTTTTGGTGTTTTAGCTGGAGTCGGAGTCGGATGGTAAGGAAAAGTCAGAGTCGGTAGATTTTTACGCGACTCCACAGCCCTGGCAGGATTGTGGAGTCGGAGTCGTGGAGTTTTGGTGTTTTAGCCGGAGTCAGATTGGTAAGGAAAAGTCGGAGTCGGAGTTGGAGTCAGTAGATTTTTACGCGACTCCACAGCCCTGGTTTTCACGAAATACATCAGAGATGTCATGTGGCTGACATGAGTGACATTTCAAGATAGTCACATGATAAAGTGGAGTTCTGTGACAGATTTTGTATGTATCTGCCATCCAGTGTGATACTTTATGACAGAAATGAGCTTAAGCAATTGCAACCCTAATGCTACCGAGTTGTTGAGTAGTCCTATGGTATTTTGTTTATAGCATTTTTTATATGCATTGGTAACAAAAATTATGTGTTTTAAAAATATCTTATCAAATATGTGTTTTCAAAGAAACTTAAAAGAAATTGTGTAATGCTAAGAATCTATAGTTTTACTACACTTTTTTAGAATAAAGCCTTCCTGTTGCTAGATGACAGTTGGATAAAATCTGGAACAATCCCAGAACATTATACNTTTACGCGACTCCACAGCCCTGGCAGGATTGTGGAGTCGGAGTCGTGGAGTTTTGGTGTTTTAGCCGGAGTCAGATTGGTAAGGAAAAGTCGGAGTTGGAGTCAGTAGATTTTTACGCGACTCCACAGCCCTGGTTTTCACAAAATACATCAGAGATGTCATGTGGCTGACATGAGTGACGTTTCAAGATAGTCACATGATAAAGTGGAGTTCTGTGACAGATTTTGTATGTATCTGCCATCCAATGTGATACTTTGACAGAAATGAGCTTAAGCAATTGCAACCCAAATGCTACCGAGTTGTTGAGTAGTCCTATGGTATTTTGTTTATAGCATTTTTTATATGCGTTGGTAACAAAAATTATGTGTTTTAAAAATGTCTTATCAAATATGTGTTTTCAAAGAAACTTAAAAGAAATTGTGTAATGCTAAGAATCTATAGTTTTACTACACTTTTTTAGAATAAAGCCTTCCTGTTGCTAGATGACAGTTGGATAAAATCTGGAACAATCCCAGAACATTATACATTAAACAGTATAATATTTCACACATAATATTAAATATATATTCATTTATATAAAATACACCACAATATTAGTACATTTTGGCTTTTATTTAACTGAACTGATATAAAGACTTTTTAAACTCTCTCCTGTAGACATAGGAGGATCTGTTGGGCAATGAGATTTTAAATGTTTTATTCAGGAACATAACAAATATATTTAGTGGTTTACAGTGGTGCGTGTATTATGTGGTGTTGTTATATGTTAAATAAATTTAACATCATTGTTGGTTAGCCAGTTCCAGAATGGGACCTTGACATATATGGGTTGATTCTCTCGTGGAAATCTCTCAGGCTTCATTCTGGACTTAAATCTAGTCAAGGTTAGCTCAAAAGAGTAGGCTAATACCTTTACTGCTTTAGTCATCTGGCTATTAATGAAAACATATTTTTGGATAAGAAGTTATATTATTCTGATATCTACTAGTTGTATCCAGCAAAATATTTGCTGTAAAAAATTGTTAACTTACAAATAAATAGGGAAAATAAAGCAAATAAATTTATTTATATAAAATTTATTAATATGACACAATTTCTTGGCATACAATATTAGTAATTTATTGAATTGGAAACACCTTAGTGCAGCGATTTCCAACTCGAGGTGCGCGATAGGTACAGAAAAAAGTTAGTTATTATGGCAGAAAAAATATCATTATGAATAATATCACTGTTTTTCCTCATCACATGCCCTTCATTTCTTTCAAAAGATTTGAATAATCATGTAAATACTGTCACAATTAATTGGCATGCAGAAATGAATACCTAAGTTGACAACATTTAATTGAACATAGTTTTTTGTTTCTTTTTCATCTACCCAATCCATAATAGTTCTTTTTTTGTTTAGGAGCCATTTCATTCATAAGAAATGATATCAGACTGACCAAACCTTAATTAACGATCACCTTTCTGTTAATAACAAAAAATAAAAATAATAATTAATAATTAGAAATTAATGAAACTTAAAAAATAATTTGAATGAATAAAAGAATGTCAACTTGAGAAGTTATTCTCAGAAACATCTTAATTTTGGATAAGAATAAGAGCCAGAATGTCAAGGAGAACATGCTATGGCAAAAGTGAAATTGGGCACATTTTTGCTTTTAATTATTTTAAATGATATTAAACAGTAAAATTGATGCATTAAGGGACATCTACATTAAATAAGCTTCAAAATAATGTATAAAATGTGTGATAATCCATACAAAAGTACCATGAATTGGAAACAGATTTAAGTAAAAAAAGCAAACTCAGTTTTATTTAGTTATGCCACTATCAAAGAAAAGCAGTAATATAATTTCCATATTTGATTGTGAATTAATAATTTTCATAATTTGAAGAATAACGAAAGATTTAATTGTTAATTGTATTAAAATTTAAATAATTAAACTTCAATCTATTTGCTAGTTCATTTTATAAATATATTGTTAAAAGGATGATATTATTGGAATTTTTATGTTTATATTTTATCTGCATAGCATATATGCTTACAGTTGTTTGTTACATTATTAATTTATGAAGCCTTCATTAAATTAAATCATTTTATCATTTTGCAACACTCACTAATAATAATAATAACAAATTTATAACCTATTGATGCAACTCAACTTTATACTGCCTTCTATGGAATGATGAAGATCCCATGGAAGACAATTTTTGCAGTGAAATATACATACATTGTCCCAACCAATGACGAGATTGGCATAAACACAGTTTATGTCAGATACACCCGAAGATCCCTTCATCAGAGACTCACTTAGCATTATGATGATATAAGAGGATCTGCTACAATTTTATCTTCCTTTGCACAACTTCCTACACAAAAATAGATTGGCAAGTGACCAAAACCATCTGTCATCCCTCAGTTGCCAACATCATAGAGAAGTGTGAATGTGAAATTTATAACCACTCTGTTATAAACATATGTATAAACAGCCAGGCAGGGAGAAGGAACAAGAACCATCTTCTCTCTTCTTGGCAATATGTCCTTAGTCTTTTGCATCAATTATAATTGCTGTAGTCCACCTGTCTCAATTGTTTACTCTATCACGATCTATTTAATCTTCCTTCCACACTGGCATTTCACTTTCAACTGTCCATATCTGAAGATGGCCTATTAATTGATATTTGAAATTAGTTCTTATTTTTTCTTCTTTAAATTAACAATTTTTGATAAGTAGAAATTTTATTTTTTTTTAAAGAAGAGACAGTTCTAAATCTTTTATTTTTTAATCTATTAAAAAACCCCTTATTCCTTACAAAATTTTCTATGTATGCACGTATGCACAGGCATTGCATTATATCTCAGAACTAGATGAACATAAAATTTTGAAACTTGGCAGCAGGGCTGTGGAGTTGCGTAAAAATCTACCGACTCCGACTTTTCCTTACCATCCGACTCCGACTCTGTTTCATATACATAACAAGTTGGTAAGTAAAAGGGAGTCGGCGGATTTTTTGACGACTCCGACTCCGACTCCACAGCCCTGCTTGGCAGGATTATTTCTGTATATGAGGCATTGATTGCTATTAAATTTTAATGGTTAAAGATTGAGAGTGGTGAAATAAAAGGGGAATTGTGTGTCATATCTCAAGTAGGATTAGACTTAACAAAAATTTTACTGGTTATTTACAACTTTTTTAAAAACTTTCTCCCTATCCTCAAAAATAAGCCTTTTTTTATAGCAATTAATAATACACAAAGTTATTTTTAAATTAAATCTCGTAACAGTAGCAGCATGCATGATTTTGACTTTGAGCCGGTAGCTTAGTGATTTTTAAACTTAAATATTTTTTTAATAGAGAAATTTATCATAATTTAACAAAACTACTACTACTAAGGTTTTATTATTATTTAAATTTTATATCTTAGTATAACTAAGAAAAATTATTGGACTTCCTGGTTCCCTTTACCTCCTGTTTAAGTGTCAAGAAAGTCGAGCGAGATCTCTTGCCAGATTTTTAATTTTGACATTTGACAATAATACATTTTATTAGCGAAGAGAAACAATTGCTAAAAATATTTTTTAAGAAGTAACTTTGTATTTTTCTTATAAATTATATCTAACATTTAGTAAGCTTTGGCGCGACAAAATTTTACAGTTTGCATTATAATTTTGATGAATTTTTCTTAAATTTAAATTAAAAAGTATATTATTGAATGTGGATATAATTTTTTTATTTAAAAGTTTAAGCATTATGCATTCGAGTAGTTTTCTAGAAATAAAAATTAATATTCGATAAATGATTATAATGCAATATATTAATATATTTTGTACACGAGTCTTTGTTATATATCACACAAAATTTATCATAAAATTAAAGTAGAATATGACTGTATAAAATGTATTTACGAAATAAGACAATTGTTAATGCATTATAATTAAGTTTTTGCTGAAGTATATCATTTAAATATATATTATTATTAATTTGTTACTAAATTATATATATATATACATATATATTTCTTTAACAGGAGGAAGCGGCTTATTGCTTATATAATAAAGCATTAGAATTGCAAAAGCAAGGAGATAAATTACAAGCTGAAGAAACATTCAAAGAACTGTTACAAACGCAATTTATTTCTAAGGTAATAATTTCATTTGTTATGAAAGTAAATAGTATGATGATTGTAATTTTTTTTTTATAAATCATAAGTTGAGAAAAATTATTATTTTATAATATCTAAATAAATATAACACTGTATAATGTATATTGATAATGATAATGTTACTGACAGCTATAAACAAATATAAACATTCAAACCTGACAATTATATATTAAAGCCAAATAATTGCCGAATTATATCAGGCTATATTACTACTACTATTATTAATTAAATGTTAGATTAATTAATGGCCTTAGGCACTGAATCATCTCCAGCTGGTGCTATAAGTAACTGAGTACGGTTATATCTAAATTAATAAGTTCTAGAAGCTAGGATCGAATGAAGGTCCAGGTAGAGTTACTGGCAACACGACTACATGGTATGTGGGAGTTGCGGGTTCGAGTCCCACTTTGGGCAATTAATTTTATTATAATTATTAAATTTAGCAAGAGATGGCACTTGATGCCTGTCTCTAGCATTTAATTAATAGTAAATAGCAATAGTTTAGCTTTGATACTGACAGCCTTTACTTTTGAGGACTGGAATTCATTATTAAAGATGATACACCAGTCCTAGTAGTTCATGCTTCTCTCTAAACATACCACTACAAACAAAGCTGAAAATGTTGGAGTGCTAATGGCAGGATGTATAACAGTTTCTATGCATTCAAATTTGCTTCTGCTAGTTTCCTGTCAATGGTTTAGGAAGAGACAGGGTTTTGTCTGTCTCCAAATGGTGGCCAAAGATGCCAGTTAACTGTTTTGCTTGTGATCATCTCTTCTGGTGGTCTGTTTGAAGTATCCAGAGCTTGCCTGTTGTGTAGGTAGTGATTATAAGGCACTCTATTGGCAATCAGACCACACTGTAAACATTTACAGCACATACAATATGCTCGTCTTAAATAAAAAAAATATATAAATTAAGTTTTTATTAAAACCAATGTTTTTATTTTTTATATTCAAGAGTTTTATATGAAATATGATCCTTCTTAAAGACAAGATATGGCAAATTTTTAAATTGTCCAAAGTAAATACTAGAGTAGAATGTGTGTAAATTATTTATAATGCTAATATTATAAATATAAATATTATTCATATCAAACTTGAAATGATTGTAAACATGTAAAAATTCTAATCAAATTTAATATAATTTTTTAAAGTATTTTATTTAAAAATTATCTTAAATATTGAACCATTTGCAATCATTTTAAGCTGTAAAAAATCATTGCAATTTCTATTAAAAAAAATTCATATTTCATGATATAAAACATCACATAATCTCGAATACTTCATTTATATATTATCGTCATAATGATTAAATTGTTTATTATTTTAAAAAAATTACATTCTGAGTAATATATGGAATTTTAAATAACTTAGGCTGCTCCAAGAGAAGATGAAGATGGCCCACTCTCTCCAGCTCACACGCTCAAATATTTGGCATGTAAAAATATGGCTAGCATTGCAGCAGAAAGGGAGGATTATAACACTGCCATGGAATCTTATTTAGATGTAAGAAAATTAAAAACAAATAGCTATTAAGTTCTGTCTCGATTGTATTGAAATGATACATTTTGTGATTAAAACTTTTCAGGCTATCAATATTGATGCCACTGATGTTACTATATGGTACAAAATGGGATTAGTAGCATTGAAACTACATAATTATCCTCTTGCAAGATTATCTTTTGAAGAGGTAAAAATTTTATCATAATTCATCATTTATTATTATTAAGAATAACCTGTGCATGTATAGTCTGAGCATGCATCTAATCAGAAATGGTCATTTTTTTTATTTATACATAAGAGTTTATTCATCACTTTATGCATACACTTCTATTGTATGCATAAAGTGATGAATAACTTCTATTTATACACCACAACATCAGCAATCTTTTATGCATACACTTCGATTGCATGTTTAGAAACTATTTGCTAATGAAACTATACACTTTGTGATCTTTCTGCCATCTCTCTCTCATCCAGTTATCATTCTCTGAGATGAATCCCTATCTTATGCTTTGTAAATGCTTTAAAAATTGTTTTCTCAATCAAAATGCTTTTGACTCTTGGATTGAAACAGTTCGACTGAGAGGGAATGATTGATTTGTAATGTCTTCAAGATTTCTTACTCGACTAAATGCAATGTAACTCAGTCCAACTGATCATTCTTTTTTGCCTAAATCAATTATCATGTCGTGTCCTTGTGTTATTCTTTGTGATTTGTGTATTGTTATATAGTGTGCTGAATTTGTAATTGTTTTCTTGAGCACTCTGATCCCAAATACTTCTATTTTTTTCACTACTGGAACAGTCCAACTTTATCAAAAAATATCTGTCCACTATAATTTTCGAATTTTATCAGTACCATCTATCTCCAGCAAATTTTTAAGGCAATTTACCATGTTTTTTTATTTTATTTTGAAAGTTGATCTACGATCTTGAAAAAGTATACTTGTATATAGAAATGTTTAAACATTAATAAAGTAAAGATTACATTACAGATACTAGTCATATCTTCACTGCTTGCCATGTCCAATCATAAGGAACAACTGTTTTCTATTGTAGAGACAACCTTTCTTTAGAGGCTATGCCTCTGAATAAATTTTATTAAATTGTAATTATGCCAGCCCTTTTTACAAAGTGTTAAAGTACATTCATTTAAAGTCATATTTTACTGCGCACTTTAAAAGTTGTTTGATAAACTTGTACAATGTAAAAGTACGTTAATGGTTGCATCGTTCTGGTCATTACCAACATTTACCAATTTCAGCCTAAAAAAATAAGCTTATTTTGTTTGAAATTTCTTTTCTAACCGTTCCTTGATCACATCTTGACACATCAGTCTAAGAGTAAGGTAATAACTTCCCAGATTAAATTGACAAACTCATTATTTTAAAAACTGCACAATGCAGAATTGTAACCTGAATTATCACAAATTCAAAATTAGCAAGACTCTGCTGTAGTTTTGAAACATACATACAACTAACATTGCTTTGTTTATAATGATAGTTGTCACATTTTCTTGTCAAGCTTAATTCACACTGACAGTGAATTACTAATGAAAGTGAATAACACATCGTGCATGTTATTATTTCCAGTGAATTTTACCATTTTGCAAATTGCTTAGAAGTTTGAAACTATTGAACTTTTTCGCTAGTAAAAAAATTTTGCCACTTATCACAGTGCTGTTTGTTGTCAGGTATTTCTAGTAGTTTATAAGATGGTTACAAAATTATCACACAACAGAAAATACATCAAAATTAATGAGATATCCTTGCAATTATTATTTTTTTAAACATTTTCCTCACCCAACATTGATTTTTTTTTTTTAATGTATCTTTCACTTTTTATAACAAATATGCAATAGCGGTTAAAACAGAATGTCGAAAGTGTTTTGTTTTTACCAATGACTTTTTTTATTTCTTGCTCATAAATGATTGGTTGCTCAAAATTGCAATTGTTTTTTGCTTTTTGCAGATCAGTTTTGCATTCTTTTTTCACTTTTTGAATTTGCTTTTTGCTATTCGCTCAGTGTGAACTAAGCTTTTCCAGTTTCAAATTTCTAAACTTTAGTAATTTCTGAAATATGAGGATATTCTAGCTTTGAATCATCCAAAAATTAGAAAACAAATTTTAATTAAACAAGTAATTTTTACATAACATATAATAGGAAACTCCAGGGAAATTTGTAAAATTTGAATTATCCAAATACTCTATTCAAATTAACCAAGTTTGAATTAACAAATTTTGACTGTGTTTATTTTTTTACAAGTTAGCTGTTAACATATTTGGATTCAATGCTATAAAAGCACCAATTTTCAATCTGGGTTGTCTTAACTCTATTTGAAATGTTAGAATTGATTTTCTCCACGAGTGGGTCACAGAGTTCTTTAGCTGATATAATAGTGCCTTTTCTAAGGTGAAAACTGAATTAAAAAATTATTTTTAATCATTGATTGAATAATGGGATATTGAGCTGTAATATTTTATTTAAGTCATTCTGTACCTTGAAAATTTACCTTAAGCATGAATATACAAATTTAAAAAAGTATTTTTTTTTTAATTTCAATTGCACAAAAGCAATAATTTAATTTTCAAACAAACAGATTATAGATGATGATATAAAATAGTAATAATAACGTTAAGAGTTTATATTAATCATACATTTCTTTATTTTAAGGGACTTAAATGTAATCCAAAACATTGGCCTTGTTTGGATAATGTGATAACTGTGCTTTATGTTTTAAATGATTATGCTAGTAAGTAAAATTTTTGATTATTATATATTTTAGAAAAATTATTCTCTCATATACACGTGTCCAAAACTTAAGGACAAACACAGTTACTAGAGACAATATCTAGGAAAAATCACTTGATGACACAATGCTGTGTATGCTGCATTACAGTTCTATGTGGACATATTCTATGTCGACTGGGGTCTCTGCCTCAGTATTGGTAAGCACTTTCCATCTATTCTCCATCTACATATATCTTCTTCACCAAAGACTTACTTAATTTGCTTTGAATTGTAAAATCCTACAAGTTGATGTGTTACACTGTGTTAGACGTCAAGTAATAAACAAAATTTGTCTGCGTTATCTACAGTTCTCTCTATTCAAGTACAAACATTGTCTGTCCTTAAGTTTTGAACATTTACAGTATAACAAATATCAAGAGCCTTTCACTGTTTTATTTGCGTGATGCTACATCATGCCAAAGCATGACAAATGGAATATAATCAATGAGAAAGTAATTTCTATAAGTAGTGTTTGTATGCATGTGTTATGAACATATCACATTGATGTATGATATACATACTGAAGAACTAAAATAAAATAATAATAGTATAAATTATGTAAAGAATGTGGCTTTATAGCACTTGATTTTCATCAGTGGCTTGAAAACACACATTCCATAAAAATAAAAAATATGTCTGTGAATTATATTCATTTAGAATTAAAATTTAATTTTAATTAAAGTTTTTTTTACTTCGAAAATATTGATATTTTTTACTTTTTTTTAAAATGTGACTATAAAAATAAATAATTATTTTTCAGATTGTCTTTACTACATATCAATAGCATTAGAACGAGAATGCTCATATATTAAAGGATTAACTTTTCGAAATCAAATTTACGAGGAACACGATGGGCTTCGTTCATATTGCGAAGATTTTTTTAAAAAATGGTAAAATTTATTTTCTACTCTCTTTGTTTAACTGACTTTTTTTCTTTTATTTATCTTTTGTACTGAAAACATATGAAAATGTTTAAAATTTGTATGAGTTTTAAACTTCAGATAATTATATTGAACCACTTTGTACACAGGATTTTTAATTATATTTTGTTGAATTAGATATCGCATTCACTAATTACTTTAATTTGAAACTATTTCAGTGATGAATCTATTTACAAAGCATCTTTTGATAAATCTGAAGGTCAAAAGGTATGTTTTGATAAATAAAAAAATAATTTAATTATAATAAAAATCCAAAATTTATTGAACTACAAATATAAGAGTATTTTATTATTAATTTACTACTAATTTAAATAAACTTTTTTTTATTTTGTAATTTTGGTTCTTTATAATAAGAATAAAACTTAAAACAATACTTAACAATCATGTTTCATTTATTAACTGTTGCGTAACCATTTTATTTTGTTCAATAATTTAAATTCAATTTAACATTTTTCAGTTATTAATGAACCAATTCATCTGTTTTTCTGAGTTTTACATTTTTAGATTAGAACATTTTTTGATTAATTAAGGTTGAATCTATTTTTAAACATTTTTATTTAAATAAAGCAGCATATCGACATTATTATTAATTAATCAAAAGAATGTTCCTAGCTTCTTGTAAGCTAACATGCAACATATGAATGTTGGAGATGTTATTTTTCTTTTTAAACACTACTATTTTTACTGTTTAGAAGCACTCAACAATCATAGATTTAATAAATATCAGAATTTGTTTGTTTCTCCAAGTTATCGAGACAACCTTATCATGCACCGGGTATGTTTGAGGTTGAGATTTTTATGTAGAAGTGCTCAAAACTTGCTGTTCTTGGAAATGTTTGTGGGTTATCCTTTTAGAGATGACAAATGCCAAGAAATGATGCTGTGCTAGGTAAAATTAGTTAGCTTGTGCATGAGTTTTCTAAAGACTTTTCCAAAGAAATTAGTACACGAATTTGATATGAGAAACAGAAATATTTAGCACACTTGGAATCAATAATTATCATGGAAACAGAACAGTACAGTACTGTTCATGTACCTCGATAATTAGAGTACATGTGTATGTACGAGGGCGGTTTTTTTTTCAAGCTCTGATAGTCTGTAAAAAAAAGACAAGTGTTAAATAACAAAATGAATTTATTACCAAAAGTTAGGTACAAACATGGTTACTTTTCGACATAATCACCCTGAAGATTGAGGAATTTGTTGTATCTGTGGACAAGGTTTTCTATCCCCTTGTCATAGAATGTTGCCTCCAGTGAATTGAGATGGATCCTAATGTTGTTTTGAAGATCGTCAGTAATCTCAAACCTCTGCCTTGCTAGCCACATTTTCATTCAGGAAAGCGGTGGGAGTCTTCACACATTAAAAAGTTCCAAGCCCAGTGGAAATCTTCACCACCTTTAAACACCCAGCATATAGCCCCGATTTAGCACCGAGCGACTTCCACCTCTTTCCTGAACAGAAAAAGTGGCTAGGAGGGCAGAGGTTTGAGACTAATGACGATCTTCAAAAATAACATTAGGGACCATCTCGAGTCATTAGTGGCAACATTCTATGACAAGGAGATGGAAAAGCTCATCCACAGATAGAACAAATGCCTCAATCTTCACAGTGATTATGTCGTAAAGTAACCACGTTTGTACCTAACTTTTGGTAATAAATTCATTTTGTTATTTACACTTGTCTTTTGTTTTTTATGGACCATCGAAGCTTGAGAAAAAAAAAAACCAGCTTACTTATATGCAATAATAAAGTTATGCTAGACTTTAGACTTTCTATACTTCATTTTATATTTCAAGTCAAGCATCTGTTTGATGAAACTTCAATGAAGTTAGCAGACATTTTGATAGAGTATAATACATTTAGAGTTTATTTATAGTTTAAAAATACATTAATTTTTATAGAACCTTTTTTTTTATTCAGCTCGGTTTCGATATTTATCTACAGAATATGCATTATTTGTCATATATTCATACACTGTTAGTCTGTATTATAATTGGGCTGCAATTTGAAAAATTGTAGACCTATAAATTTCCACTGTTGTCTGTCTATCTTTCCTTAACCTCGAGAACAGAGTTAGATAGATGAAAATTGAGACGAGATATGGAAAGCTTAGAGTGATTGTTATATTTCGTGATTTATTTATTAACTTTCCATAATTACTATAATTATAAAATTGGTTAATTACTGATAATACAAAATTACAAAAGAAATATAAGTTTACATTTGATATACTTAATGTTAATTATTATAAAATATACTTATGTTCTAGTTTGATATATAAATTTACCTTTAAAATAAACATTGTCAAACTCCAGAATATAATATGTATTATATATATATATATTCATACATACAGTGGAAACTCAATTGTCTGAACTTGATAGGACTTTTTGTATAGGATTGTAGAATTGATGGAGAAGGCAATACAACATAAGGGGAATGTCTTCCAAGAGGACTTTTTATGAGAAACTGGCTTCTATTTAGCTGTTAGACACATGAAGAAAACCTGAAAAACTTCACGTGGCCAGCTCGTTAAGTGAACTGATACCGACCAACTATTGTTGTCAGTGGTTTTATCCAATTGGCCACTGGTGGTGCCCACCAGTGTTTTTGTGTCTTTGGTACATCAAGCATTGTATATTTCACAAACAATAAATATTGTAAAGCAATTACTATATTTGAAGGTAAATTTATTTACTCAAAATCTAATGCAATGTTGTATGTATTATGATTTAGTTTTGTGGCACTGCAATTAGCAGATGACGTAGTTATTTCCAATTATACAGAAATTTTGCTCTCTTTGTATTATACTTTCTGATATGTATACAATGTTATACAGTTTAGTTTCTTTTCTTTTTGAAAACAAGTTTTGGGTACTCAAGTTTCCACTGTGTATATATATATAATAATTTATTATTGTGTAGCATTATATTGAATTATTAAACAAAAAGTTTACTTTACAAAGTAGATTTAGTAAAACTGAGCCAGCCACGCTTATTTCTTTCATGCTAAGTGACACAAGAAACATTTAAGCCTGAAACGTTTATTTTCTAGGGCCTCTAGGGATGACATTTAAAATGCTAGATAAATAAATCAGTAGCAAGTGATGTACCGTTGGCTCTTGGTATTGCCAAGTCTGCTCCTTGCAAGTAAACTCATTGTTTGATTGTTTTATTTTAAATGGCATCTAAAATTTATAATTTTTTTAATCGTGATTTTAGTTTATAGATGAAGCACTAACTATGAGAGAGAAAAAACGGGAATTATCGAAATCATCGCCACTTCCGGAATTAAAATTTAAACAACCTCTAGTCGAATTTAAGTAAGTTTTAATATGAAAAGCCTTCTATGTTTACAGTTTTTTGTTGTTTATTGTTGATTTGTAGTAATAATACTTCTGTAATGTTTCATTCATATGCATAAATATTGACCTTATTTTATACTTTAATTTATATATTCTCATTATATTTGCATTTTAACACTGTCAAAGCATTTTTTATTGTGCTATTTTAACACAATGATAATTAATAAAATATATTATATTTCATTTTCTTTTGAAATGAACTCTTAAAATGAGCCTGTGAAGATAGTGAGATTTAATATATCATTTTTTTAAAATAAATTACATAAATTAAAGTGTAAATATTTGTAAATTTTATTGTAAACAAAAACTTAGAATAGGTAAGTGTATTTTTTCACTTCCCTTTCTCCCTCTTTTCTTACTCCACCCCCATTTTTTAAAATTTGGATCATCATCTCCTGGACTTGCTGGCTTTCAATCTCTTCTTAGATATTCCCTGTATTCAAATTATCCTGTTTTCTCTACATTTTCTTAGGATATCTTTTTGTATCTTTTTGCTGGAGTAGGTGAAGATGTCCTTAAATCTCCGAAGCATTTCTTCATCGGAAGAAGTCATTTAATTCAACTCGAGTCCCTGTATTTTTTTCAATAGTAAATATTTCTTATAAACTATATAGAATACAATCAATACTAGAGAGGTTGAGGCGCATGTTTTAAACGTGTAAACGTGTACATGTGACGTTCGGCGCCGCTTTCCCGTAAGCCTAAAAGTTTGACAATGGTGTTTGGATAGTCGGTGGAATCACGCTCGACATTCCAAACACCATTGTCAAACTTTTAGGCTTACGGGAAAGCGGCGCCGAACGTCACACGTACACGTTTTCACGTTTAAAACGTGCGCCTCAACCTCTCTACTGTTTTTCTTGACTGTTTCTTTATGCAGCATTTAACAGTGCCCTTTTTTTTCACTATATCTTAATCACCTCCTTTGCCACCTTAAATCTCATATTGCAGCTTGTGCCAGTAACATAATATTGATTTGTTTCGATTCATCGATCTTACAATTTGACATCTTTTTGATGAAAAAAACCTATTTAAATCTGTTAATTTGGAAATGAACATGCAAAAAACTGTGGTTGTGTGTTTTGCTTCAATCCGCAATCCTCCTCTACCAGCTTTTTATTTCTATTCTGTTCCTATTAATTACGTCACATCTTTTAACAATTTGCGTATATTTTTTGACGATAATACTTTTAAAAATTATGTCGATAAATTGGTTAAATCCTTAGCTATCGGGCATGAAATTTTATGTCATTTTTGTAAGTCTGTCTTTTCTAAAAGTGCTCAGAGTGCTATTTCTTTTTACCAACTTTTGGTCTTGTATTGTTTATAGAATGCCCGTATGGACTATGGCACCACCTTTCCTTTTGGACAAGATTGCCATACACTGGATAAGATTTATCTATCTTTTAACAGATTATACAATTTACCTTGTACTCAAATCAATCTGTTTGTTTTTGAGGTGGATGTCATTTGTCTTTCAGGACTTCCCTGTATTTTGTAAAAAATAAATAAAATGCTAGTGTATTTAAAAATTAAAGATACTGTTAATTCATTGAAATATTTAGATAATAAAATTCAATTTTAATTTTTTACATGTGAAAATACGGTTAATGTATACATACATCTTCGATAAATTTCAGATGGAAACAGTTAGGCGAAAGGTTGATATCTATGTACGATTATATTCTGAATTCAAATCCGAGAATTGTAAGTTCGTAAATACTTGTTTTTGCTCTTAAGTATTCTGACTAGATTTTGTAATTATTGTCAAAATTAGTCTTTTGGATGTAGACTCAACTTGGCAACGTATTTAGAAACTCTTGAGAAACCACTGCCAGAAACAAAACCGGAACAGGAAAAAAGATCGTCGTCACCCGCTACCGTTTCGTCGTCGTCCGAAGCATACAGCATTCCTTTGGCTTCTCCCGCATCGGTCCCAACTTCCCAGTCTAGTCAAGCATTACAGTTGTGTTCTCAAGAAAAAGTGACTTCAACGGGAGGTACTTAGACATAACGACTCTTAACATTCATTTTAAAAATCTAATTACCATTATATTTTTATTAGAAATATCGATATTAATGGAAACAGAAGAAACGCCGATCGGTTGCGTTGTAACCACTGCGACAAGTACAGAAATTAGAACCGTACACTCGGAAAGTACGTCGTGCCTAGAGAGAGGTCGCAGGTGTCCTCAGAAACGAGGACCGAAACGTAAACGGTTAATTATGGAAAGTATGGATTCTGGAATCAAAAGAAGATCTGCTAGAGTAATTATTTTTCATACTAAGTTAATTATAAAATAGTGATTTCTATTATTCTGGAATACTACATTAACTAAATTCCTAATACAGTAAAAATATATGAAAGAACTGCACAAGACTACATAAACTTTCCTGTTTTTTCCTCCTGGGCAGGTTATTACTTCATAACACGAAGTAATCTTTCTAGGATTAAATAATTTTAAAAAACAAAGATATAATTATAAATTCTTTTATAAAGAAACAAATATATATATATATATTTGTTATACTGTATATATATATATATATATACAGTAGAATCTCATTTTAATGGATCACTTGGGCCACTGAAAATTATCTGTTGTTCTGAGAATCTTATATANAAAAATAACACTAATTTTTTGATGTTTTCTGTTTTATATATATACAGTAGAATCTCATTTTAATGGATCACTTGGGCCACTGAAAATTATCTGTTGTTCTGAGAATCTTATATAGCGAACACAACAGATTATCCCACACACCCAGGAAGATATCCGTTATTTGACCCTCTACATGTAAGAAGTATCTGCACTTGAAGCTATTCAGTCTCTTGATATCTCCATTCTTTATTCTATAGAAACACATGTGTTAAAAGATTGTATATTATGCCATATGTGTATACAACAAAGCCGACAGAGACTATATTTACCGCGAGCACAAAAGGAGGAAAATTACATATGCACATTAGCACTTCACTTTACATCCCAATTTCTTAAAAAATTCATCCATCTTTAATGCTGCTTTCCTGCTTATTGCATACAACAATTATGCCACTTGATATTAGCAGTGCCAAGTACGGCCTTTCGTTTATGTCGAAACCTGTCGGGAAGGTCTTCACAACTTGAAAAGACTCGATGACCTTTATAAATTTTGGCACTACGCTTGGACCGGCGCTGGTGGCTCCTCCTCAACTGGCCCGCTGACTCTCTTCATACAGTTCTTCAATTGTATGGTATCCCAGATGTAACAAGTGCTTTGTCAAACTCTACAAATTTCCGGAAACACCCAAATGTTAATGATTTTGAAAAAATGCAAAGTTTATAATAGATTTTGCTAGAAAAAAATCTGTATGATATGTTCTTTAATTATCAAACTATATGATTTTAAAACATAACATTTAAAGAACAAGAAGCTACAAGTAAATAAAAAAAAAAACTGTTATTTTGAGTTACAGATCTGCTGAAAGGAGGTAAAATTACATTAATTGGTGGAGTCTGGAGGAAAAATTTGTTATTCCGAGAAACTGTTGTTCGACAGTTTGTTAAAATGAGATTCTACTGTGTACACATATATGTTTTTTCATGTGTAATTTCTGTTTTTTTAATCATACTTAGGTAAGAAATACATTGAAGAAACATCAAGAAAACACTTGTGTGAATTATCAAGATCTCTTGAAGAAATTTCTTCCACCAAGTCTTAGGTTTATTTCCTCTTCATATATTAATTTATTAAATACCTTAGAGCTTACTTTTTGATTATTTTAAGTGATGCAAGGGAAGAACTAGATGAGGACGAACACGTTCCTCCCGCAAATGAAATAGGAACCAGCACGTTGACAATGGAAGGAAAAGAACCAAATCAGCATGGTATATTTTCATTGTTACATTTATTAAATCGTTAAATTTTGATTATAGAGTAGAAAAATATGATATTAAATATGATTGAACCTGTCTAATAAAGTCGCGTGCTGTAATAAAGGCCTGTCTCTATTTGGACTTATACAAATCAATGATGATAAATTCACACCTTTGTCGTGTCTAAAGTCACAGTCATTTGTTACGCTCGTTTATTCTGTACAGCATTATGTGAAGTCAAACATGATAGTTCCAGCAGTCTGCATTGTAAGCATTAGTTTTGGTTTTGTTTTTAATGCTACAAGTATTGGCTTAGTGCAGGGGTGTCCAGCCCGCGGGCCGCATGCGGCCCAAGGCAAGTTCCAATGCGGCCCAATAAACGTGTAAACAAAACCGACAAATGTTTTAATTTTTTATTAATTTATTTCAACGGCATAAACTCAAAAAAAAGTTTCACAAAGCCGTAAACCTTTATTCATATTTTATTTTTGAGTGGAAAGAAAACATTTTCAAATATTTGGAGATGTGTGAATGCAGAAGGATTACTAACTAAAGCTGGAGTTGTGACTCAAAGGATTATAGACCCAAATTTGGGAAAAGGAGGGAAAGATGAGAAAGGACAAAAGATGTATTAGTAAGAAACTTTAAATAGATCTTCTGTTAAGCAAATATGGACCCATAATTTTTCAACCTTTTTCACTTCTTTACTTTTTGTCCTTTGCCTCTTTTTCCCCACACTTGGGTCTATAATCTTTTGATTCACAACTCCAGCTTTATTTAGTATTCTTCCAACGTTGCAAGATTTGGCTACATTGGGCCAAATGTGGCTACTTTTTTTTTGCTTGACGTAAAAAATATCATTTGGCGCTTTGGCTACTTTTTCGGCTACATATTATTTATAATTATATTAATCGAATAAAAATGCACTTTAAAATGGTGTTTCGTCGCTTTTTATTAATCAGAGACTCAAATAAACCAAATATTTGCGTTTTATCAAATAAATGAATTTATCTATTTCTAAGTAAAAATTAAAAGTGTCTGTAGAAGTAATTTTTTAAAATATCCATTTTTCTTGATAAAGTTTTAATACTTATTATTATAATCTAGACATGTTAGTTTTTAAATATACTTGTATATTGGGCCACAAGTATATATAATATACAGTATACTTGTGGCCCAAAACTCCTTGACTTCTTCCAATGCGGCCCAGAGAAACAAAAAGGTTGGACACCCCTGGCTTAGTGTGACTTTAAATACATTTTTGTCACTGATTAGAAAACAGCCTTCGTAACTAATATTTTATTAGGCTACTATACTTTGGATTTGGGAAAGAAAAAATGGAGAAGCATATACTGTTTTCTTATAACTAAAAATAATCTAGAAAAAGTACATAGCCAAACTGTATCTTATTCACAATGAACTTGCAGCTTTGGCAACAAATAATGTGATGAGATAATTCTTTGAGTAAAAGGCAATTAACTGTAATTTCTTTGAGAGTAGTGTTCTAATATTAACTTTTTCTGAAGTAAGATTACATATTTATTTCATAGTACACAATAAAAGCATGCATATCCACATATAAATGGAGAATTTTCAGCTTTAAAAATACATAGAAAAGACTAAAATATCTTGATTTTTGCCATGTATCACCAGGAACAACAGTCTTCCATTGCAAAGATAACCTTCTATTAGAGGCTATGCCTCTGCAAAAGTATTACAAAACAGTTTAAAAAGTTTACCTGTGATCTTTTTATGCTGTGTATTTTTTACTGAAAGGTTTCTCACTGTTTGGTCACATTTTACTCACTATTTCTGTCCAAAAACTCACTTTTCTCACTAGTTTGACTTACGTGCTACGAGCCCTCAAAGTATGATGTACAATACAGGGGCAAGCCACTACTAATTTGAGGTGGAGAACATTTGCAGCCTGGCATTGCGACGATGTCACAATAAATAATTGCTTGTTTATGTTAAAACACATGAATTAAATATATTATAAGATAAATGGATATTATAGTTCGATGTTANTTGCAGCCTGGCATTGCGACGATGTCACAATAAATAATTGCTTGTTTATGTTAAAACACATGAATTAAATATATTATAAGATAAATGGATATTATAGTTCGATGTTATTATTTTACAGATGGTGATAAAAATGCAAAAACAGTTAATTTGCTAAGTTCTACGGAAGTAGATGACGTGAAGAAATTTCTGTCCGATAATCAAAATAACGGTGGGGTGCTTGACGTTTTATATAAATATTTAATTGAATTGAGTGCGAGAAGTGATTTGGTGTGGTATGTATAAAATAAAAATTTCTTATATGTTAATATCGATATTCTTAGCCAGAAAAATTAATGTTAAAAATCCAAATCTTAACATAAAGAATGGTGCATTTAGAAATCTAATAAACTAATAATTTTATGTTGTTTCAGGCCACAAGGTTTGGTTGATATTTATCTATCGGCATATACCAGAGCTAGGGAACATTATACACTGCCTTCACTTTTTTCGTAAGTTTTTATAGATTATAAATAATTTAGCAACACTTAAAATAAGATGTTAAATTATTGGGCCGGTCTGTAACAAGAAAGTCATAAAAGTTAATTTGTAAATTTATTTTAATATTAAAAATTTCTTCTTTATTCTCAATAATCAAAATAATGCTTATTATTTTTTGCTTGAAAGATATGATACAGATAATTTATATTGAGGATAAAGGACATTATTATACATTAACAACTTCATATATTAATGACTAGCTAATACAACGGTATCTTGACTTAAGAGTTTTTCAAGTTATGGACCGTCTCACGGCCGAGTTTTTGCTTTGAGTTGAGAGCTAAAATTCAGGTTACAAGCCAGCTTCACATACCTCACTGCTAGTTGGCGCAGCAAATACCACAGCAAACCATAGATTAAGAAAAAGAAGATGGAATACTGCCATAATTTCATCATTTTCGTTACTCTTTCAATGTCTGACAGGTTAGCTTATAGAAAAACACACAATTTAGTGACATAGGCATTAGTTCACTTTTACGTTGTGTGTGGCACCACCATCTCATTTCTCAAATTTTCCATCTTTTCTTTATCTATGCAGCAAATGCTGCAACATTTGCAAAACCAATTTATTGTAGTACATTCTATTATGTTTTTATACAATATTCCTTATTTATAAGTACATTTTTCTTATTTAAAAATATGTAACAAAAAAATTGTGGTGTTTTGGGGGTTCGGAACGGATTAATAACATTTCAATTCATTTCAACTGGGAAAATTGATTTGACATACAAGTAATTTGAGTTACAAGTTCCATCATGGAACGAATTAAACTCGTAAGTCAAGGTACCACTGTATAGCAAAACACCTATTCTGCAATTGTCAATGGTTGTGAGCAAAAGTATCTTTATGAGTGGGTGGCCTTTTAGATGGGTTTCATTCAGTAAAACTGCTACTTTGCAACCACCAATGGTTCTGAGCAAAAGTGGTCTTTATTGAGAAGGTTTCACTGTGTAATAATTTTTGGTAATGCGTGTATTTGCAGTAATGCCCATACAAATCTAAAAATTAGTTATTGGTGCCACAACGATGCAAGTTCTCATAAAAATATTTTAAGCATTTTCTTAGCTAAAGATATGCTAACTTGTTTTTAGTTATTTGCTATCTCAATAATTAAAAGAATTCTTTTAATGAATGTTTTGAAATTTTCAAGGTTTGCCGCATTAAAAAGTTAAAATTTTCATTTTAGGGAAAGTACAGATGTGGAATCAATTAAAGATCAAGGCTTGGTATGTATATTATAATTTTAATTTCATTAAGTATAATAATTATTTTTTAATATAGAAAGTAATTTATAATTCTCAATCCATAAAGTATCACATGATTGCACATTCATGAATTTCTATGATATTTACACAGCATTTTCGCAAATATCCTTGCATCTTCTTTCACGGTTTATCTGTACAGTATTATCGAGTTCTGTATATAATGAAAATTAATGTAATTGGAGGATTAGTTTCGCAGATACACTGATAAATTAATATCAGAACATTTTCATATAACATAAAACTGATAAGTTTTTTGTTAGCTTAAAAACATTTTCTTTTGTCATGCCACAAGAATACTTGAAATATGAAAGTTTTATGCAATAAAATCAAATTAGGAAATCTTGATTAAGATAATATTTTTACATTTATTAATCAAATAATTCATAAATTTGAATATTATGCAATAGTACACGCAGAATCTTTCATTTCTAATTACAGTTGTCCCTTGATAATCCGACAGGTATGGGACCAAAGGTGTGTCAGATTACCAAAAGTGTCCGGATTACCGAAAATAATTACATATTTTGCATTGTTTTGCTAGCAGTAACTTACAATATTCTCTACTCCAACTGTTCGAACAGAACTGCTCACATAAAACACACGAAATATGTGTCATCGAGTAAGAATTGGATGGGGAGATTCACATCGCGACATGCTTCTGTGCAAGCAGACACGTAACGGGGACGGGTACCTTGATGGGAGGTGCGTCAGACTACTGAGCATGTCGGATTAAAAAACGTCGGACTATAGAGGGACAACTGTATTATTTTGTATTGGAAATCAATTTACAATAACAAAAGAAAAATATACAAATCCTTTTATTATTTCCTAAAAATGTAAGTGTAGAAAAAATGGCAATCCATTGATGCTTAAATTGATAACAATTGACAATGCCTTTTTGTATTAAGTGAAACTTATGATTATATAAATCATTAACAGAACTGTAACCCTCACTTAGATATACATACATCCTATTAATTATTTGTGCTTGTTAATTACCTGTTATGGCTCTTATCCAGCCACAGAACCTTAAATGATGCATTGAAGTACCGTTGGAAGGTCAATGCCTTTTTGTATTAAGGCACCACCATCTCATTTCTCAAATTTTCCATCTTTTCTTTATCTATGCAGCATTTGCTATGCAGCAAATGTTAATGAATGTATAGTAATATTAGCCTAGCAGCGATAAATACTATTAATAAAATAATAAAATAACTAATAAAATTTATATAATCACTATGTGATTATATAAATCTGAAGTGTGTATGGTTCAGAGAATTTGGTTAGCCTGATTGATAACATAATTACATGTGAAATTACATGTTTTAAATCTCACTCTTAGCTTTCTTTTTTTCTAGATAGTAGCATTAATACTTGTAATATCAAATTTTGCTTACATTACAGGGCATATTCACAAAGTAAAGATACAAAGTCCAGAAAATATTTCACTTTTAGAACATAAGTATATTTTTCAACATAGTCATTTTCAATGCATTCGATGAGACCGGAAAGGAGTTTCTTGCTGCCAACATCATAGAAATCTCCTTCCTGTTCTCATAACCACTTCACTGCATTTTGAACCTTATTGTTATCATCAAACTTTTGTTCAGAGATGTTCCTTCAACTTCAGAAACAAGTGATAATTGCTTGACGCAAGATCTGGACAATGTAACAAATGTTCCAAAACTTTCCATTTGAATGTATGCAGCATTTCGTATGAGCAGTGTGTGGATGGGTGTTATCATGCAGTATGACACCATTTTGTCGTATTCTGCCCGTTCATAACATCTTTCTCATAAACAGAAACGAGTTGTCAATGAATTTCAGCAGCAGTTTCTCCTTTTGCATAAAGGAAATTAAATCATTGAATGAACCCTGCATGGTAAGATTATGACGACGATGCAATTAAAATCAGGTCATTTCTGTCATGTGACTCAGACCCAATAGATGTGGCAGTGTAGCAAAATGAAAAAAATAACCTTTCTTGGATTATCTACTTTCTTTCTTCTGGTCTTGTATCTTTACTTTCTGAATACGCTTTGTATATAATCATTTATAAAACCTAGTATAATTCAGTCAGTTATCAATAATTGGTATTAAAAATATTGTTTGGAGGTTTGTTTTATCATTCTGCCATTAAGCATGTCAGCAAAAATCCCTTAAAAGATCCCTTTTTCCCTTAAAAGATGACTTTATTGTACATGGAACTCAAAATCGACAAATGGCATAACAAAGGACATTCGTCGACGCCTAAAGGAACCGGTCAACACGGATCCGAACTCCTGGACAAATTCTTTATGGAAGATCTTAATTATTTGTTCCACATCTCCATTTTGAAGTGTGTTTTCGGAGATTATTTAACGAGTTTCATGATTCGAGGTAACAAAATTTACAAGAAGTGATGAAAATTCTGTTTATTTTGATTTAAAATATTCCTTTTACTTGTTAAATAGCTCTTTGGCTGAAAGGAAAATTTCATTCGTTCGATGGGGATATAGATGTAGCTGTTGGCTGTTTTGATCAGGTAAATGAATATACAATTTATGTATGTGTATAACTTTAATTATGAAGAATTGATAAAATATTATTTCCAAGTAGTTATTAAACGTTTTACAAGAAGCTGAAGAAGAAAATAAAGCTGCCAAAAAAGAGAATTTATTGAATTGTACAACAATGAATGTTATAAGTACAGGTATACTAAATACAAGAACTGTAAATCATGATTAAAAGGTTAACTTAAAAGGTTTTGTTCTAAAAATTTTTCTTTTCATTTTAAAAGAACACGTAAGGGAACAATTAGAATTGCTACAATGCTGCCAATCTCTAGAAGAAGTACACAAATTATACGAAAAAGGCGATTTCCAGGCAGTCGTCGATCTGTTAGTTCCTACATTCCGACAAGCCCAAACCAGAAGAAAGGTATTCGTAATTATAAATGGATATTTAGACTAAGAATTTTGCAAGAAAATCTAATTAATTAATACAGAATCTCATTAAATTCACCACAGAATGTTTAAAATCCTTTAATATTCTAATTTTCTGTTACATTGACATTAAATTTTTACCACCAAATGAAGTAATATTGATAAGTTTTAACAGTTCAAAAGTATTTTAAAATAAGATTTTTAAATTTAATGAAGAGTTTTATAGAATATATTTAATATTGCTTCTATAAATATTATAAATCTATTATTAAAAATATATATATAAATTAAATTTATGCCAAACAAAGCTGCCATAAATAATATAAATCTCTGTAATGATAATAACGCTACAAAGATATATTCGGATATAGAAGTTTGTTAAAATATTTTATAAGTAGTTACTGTTTTCTAAGGGTTTACAATTTGATTTATTGTAATGTGCCTGAAGCAATGAATAATAATCACATATCTGTATTTTCTGGATTATGCTTTATTTGTAAATTTAATGTCTACGTATACAGGGTATGCTAAGGCAAAATTTATTTTCACTCCGTTAAGGTACTTGCGTACGAATTACATTTATGTTTTATACATCATTTTGAAGCTTATTTGATGTAAATGTTCTGCATCAGTTTTATGGTTTAATTTCATTTAAAGCAGTGATTTTAAACCAGTGTGCCGCAAGAGGATTGTAGGTGTTCCACAAAAATTTATGACACTTATTAAATAAATAATTTTCGAAAGAAACCCAAAGAGAACAATAAGTGTAAATGTCAAAATTAAATTGCCTCTTTAAATTGATTATTTATTATAACAGTGAAGAACTTGTATAAACATATGTAATGTAGTAAAAAATACATATTCATAAGCAAAATTATGTGCGCATAACACCGGGTTATTTCATTTAAAATGAAATTTTCGTTAAATCAAAAACGTATCTATAATTGTCCATATTTGGTTCAAATTATTTTAATTAACTTAGAAATAGCAGGACATTGGGCGGGTTTCTAAAGGTAATTATCGTACCACTTTTAAATGCAAGTCAAGACTTAATGTTAATTTGCTTTTCTTATGTAAATGAAAATTATTAATTGAAATAACTATTGTTGTAAGCTGCTGTTATTTTAAGGAACAACAATACTGTTTTATTTAATTCACAAAAAATATAGACAAAAAGAATTAGGTTAAGTGGCAAGTAATATGGCGATAGAATGTTTACAAACACAACTTTAAATCACGTTATTTTTTTCTGCGGAAATTTAATTATAGGTTCAAGTTTGACGTGAGATAAAAATGGTCGAAAAACACTGATTTAAAGTGATTAGAAGCGAACTTGTGCCCGATTGTACTGTTACTGTAGCAGTGCTCCTCCCTGTCACTGCAACTATTGAAGTTACTCCTGTCCAGTATAAAAACACTTCTAACAATAACTTCTTGAGTTGATTCATTTCCAATTATTTTTTAATTTTGTTATTAACGAAAAGACTATTTTAAATTAAATTTTGTTTGAGGACCGATATTGTTTCTTATTAATAAAATAGCATCTAAGCAAAGAATAACTCTTACGGACAGACAAAAAACTGCATTTGATTAAATGTCGTCAACTTAGGTATTCGTTTCTGCATGCAAATTAACTGTGAAAGTATTTAAGTGATTATTCGAGCCTTTTCAAGGGAATGAAAATCACCTTACGGGATCATACGGACACACGTTTGTTAATATTAGTCTTTCCGATTCGTTAAAGTACTGATGTATTCTGAGAAACTTTATGTAAATAAGTTTTCCCTTCTGTTTATTTATTACTTAACAATAATTTTTACAGAAAATATTTTGCTGGGTACAACTAGTTGTGCTTAATTTGAATATAAAACTGAACGATAGCATGTATAGTTAGCTAGAGAGATAAATGTATTTGTATTTAAGTTATATTTAACAATATAAAGATGTACTAAGAAGGTGTACAAGTTAATAAAGTGCTTAAATTCTTGAAAAAAACTTGAAAATATTTCAAAAATTTAGATTCAGATAACAGGGTATGGCAGTAATGTGTTTCTGAAAATGATTTGGATATCGGGAAGTTTTTCCATTATTTTCTACAGGAAAAATTCTAATTTGTTTCCGGTCCATCCAAGTAGTCTCAACCGATTTTCCCACACAACACTAAAACATTGTAGAAGAGCTAATTTATCTATCAATACACGATTTTAGTGTAATATATTAAATATTACAAACCACTTAATTATGTTTGTAAACAGTAATACAACAAATATGTTTCTATATGCGATACGTTCTAATGAGTATTCTCTGTTAGGAGTTGTATATGAACTACATTTTCCTTAATATGCAGTAGATGGCAATGAAAATGCTGTGATGATATTGCATATTTTATATTAAAATGTTATCCCATAAAGAGGAGCAATAATGAAAGTAGAAAAAGAGGTAGTGAGATTGTACAAACTGTTAAGAATAGAGCTGTGAGATTGCACCGAACTGCACGACTGTGTAGAACATAGACGAGAAGCCACCGAATCAAATGAAACGGTAATGGATTTGCTAGCATGACTTTCAAATTTTCCACGGATCCACTTCAAGGAAATTTGTAATGTCATACTTATTCAATTTGGATAGTGTAATGGATACTAAAAAACACCATGTTGTTGTAGCATCTGGATGCAGATACCAGGATGTGGCTGTATTTCAATCTACTCGACAAGCTTCTAAACACTTTTTACAATTAATGTAATAGTTAGCGTAACTCTCTGTCTGCCGTGAAAGCTGATACATCGCACTCATTCGGTGCTTGTTTCTGTTAGAAGCGTCATATTAAAAAGTGGTTGTCAGAGTCCAATTTACTTATTTTAGGAATTTTTTTTAAGAAAGGAAAATGTGTAATAGGATGTAATAATAATTTTAAAGTCATAAACCCAGCCACTTGCTATTGTCTGTTCTCGTTGTGGACCTGTCAAACTCATACCTCTTTGTGTATATTATAATTTAGTATTGCTCGGTAATAAACTGCAGTTTAGTTTACTCTAGAATATCTGTTATTTGGGAAGGAAAGTTTTAGTTGTTTCTAGCGAATAAACATTTACGGGCATATAATGAAATATCAACAACTGCTGCGATTTATTCGTTACAAAATCATTTTACGTTACGTGTTTCAGATATCTAACGACGGTAACGTTCCCGAACGTTACGCCCAGCTCTGTTTATTGCAAGATTCGTTATGGAAATTGAAAAATTATCAGGTTAATTCTTTACTTTTATTTGTATTACGAATTGTAATTTGCATATATTTATAAGTTTTAAACGTTACAGGAATGTCTTACTTGGGGAGAAGTAGCATTTCACGAAGCCCTGAATCAGTACATGACCGTCATCACGGCTACCGAAAGAACGGTTTGGGCAGAAACAATGAGTCATCTGCTGGCGGGATTAAATAGGTAAAAATTTTATGGGAAGTTATTCTTTAAACAATGCAAAAATGAAATCCGAAAGTGAATAAAGGTAATCTGTTTATAAAACTCTTATTTTCAGATGTGTAACTTTGGATGAAAAGCTATTAGATAAAATGGAAAAATCAAAATTAGTAAGATTTGCCAATAATTTGATTAGTTTGATATCTCTACAAATGATTGTTGCTGAAACTATATTAGAAAGTGACATTCCAATTGTATCACCGTGGATTCTCTTGTATATATTGATCAGACGGTAAGTTTGCTAAAGAAAATCTTTATGTTAACTGTCGGCATGCTTTGATGTTTTAAGTTTTACGTAGGGAGGAACTAAAGATTCAAGCTGCTGAAGCTAACGACTCCAAAGATGCAAAGAAATTGATAACAGATACGATTGCCAAGCAGACTCAACAGGAAGGAGATTTTGCATTAGGAATGCCCTCGTCTTTGATGTTGTTGTTTACTGCGCACGAGTGTCTCGGCCGGTAAGTCTGCAGAAGTTCGAGTCGTGGAGTATGATTGAAACTCAAATTAAATTAACATAACGCATTTTTAGTAATTCATTCCAATATAACTTTTAGTTTTGCTTGGTGTTCGGGTTCGGACGGAGCACTGTTGTTACTTTCGGTAGACGTCATGTCTTCAGAACTACAAAAGTCGACGCCTTCGAATCCAAACCCTTTCCGAGAAGATTTAGAATCTGGTTTAGAACAGTGTTTTTATTGTTTGTACGGTCATCCTAGCAAACGTACAAAGGCAAAACATCTTCAAGAACACAATGCTCAAATGGTATTGGAATTTTTGTATTGCAAAGAATATTTTTCGGAAACAACCTTAAATAACTTATTTATTTACAGATTACACTAACCTGGGAACGTAGTTTTCTGTTGTTTGAATATTTTAAACCAAGTGTTCTTCCAGAATTTGACAGTTACAGAACAAATACCGTTTCTGCAGAAGTATACAAATAAGCTTAAAATCATTTATAGTTATTCAAAATTATCTGCGTATTTAGTAAAATATCGTAAAAAATTTTGTTTTGCAGTTGGAAAATCTTTTACGTCGCATACTTGCTCTAATCCCTGCCGACGAAGATCCGTCGTCACGAGTAGATGCGATTACCGCTTACATAGAAGGAGGTACAGATAAATGCCCTGTTTTACCTGATGATAAGAATCCCAGGTTTGTTTTTTTCAAAATTAAAATATACTTTAACAATTCTTTTTATTTTTTAAAATAAATTTTTATAATGCTATTTCAGTACCATAGTCAAAAGTCTCTATTATTTATTGGGAGATTATTATTTTAAAAATAAAGAATTTGGGTAAGTTTTTTAATTCAGAAGATTAAATCTTATCCTAAAAATTCCTTTACATTTTATTTTTAATTCCTTTAATTAATGATTATTGTAGGAAGGCAATAAAATTTTACATCTTGGACATCTGCGTCAATCCCGACCGCTTTGATTCTTGGGCGGGAATGGCTCTTGCCCGTAGCTCACAATTAGAGCAAAAGTTGAGTTGCGTAAGTAAATTATTTTAATTTCTATGTTATGTTTTGAGGTACCATGAAGTGTTGACACTAGACACTGGACTTTTCCATATCCACTTTACAGTCTTTAAACTAATTTTCAGTGCGCTAAACTAGTGTTAAGCAGTATATGGCTGCTGTCTGATGGTATGTGCAATATTGGACACAATACCAATAATTTGTACTGTGTCCCCAATGTAGGAAATGAAACACTGAGTAATTCTTTAAATAAAAAGTTAAATCAAGTTTTAGGAAATTTTAAATAATTTACAGTACAAGGTGGTGTTTTGGTTTTATGTATGTCGGACAATAGAGTAAAAATTGCTGTAAAGAATGAGTATCAGCCAACAGATGCTGGGCACCAGTCCAAAACATGTATTGGCACTTGGAACAATTAGTTTAAAGACTGTAAAGTAGAAAAGTCCAGTGTCTAGTGTCAACCAGGCATGGAGAGTCGGAGTCGAGGAGTAAAATCCTTTTATGGGAGTCAGAGTCATGTATTTTTCTGCCAACTCCCCATGCCTATTGTCAACACTTCATGGTATCTCAAAACATAATTTAAAAAAAGGCACAGTTTCAATACAGAGAAGATATTTTAATTTCACTTTATTTTAATTGTTAAATTCGGACATCTCATTGAAACGAGCAAATTCTTATAGTGTGATCTGAAGAACGAGGGATCAATTTACAGAAAGTCAACATCCGCTCTTCGTTGTTTCAAACATGCTCTAGAACTCGATTCTACCCACACTTCTCTGTGGATAGAATACGGTTCGATTGCTTACATGCTTCATTCGCACACTTCTCGGCAGCTGAAACAGGTCGGTCGTCATTTACAATTGAATTTGTTTCTAATCATTCATAAGTTTTAAAATGATTTTCGTGTTATTTTATTACAGCAAGCTCAGTTTAATTTCGGAGAAGATGTGTTGGAATTACTTCATAGGAAAAAGAAGGAAATGCTGGTAATTGCGGAGAACTGTTTCCTTTCAGCAAACAGTTGCGAAATCGAGGGCGTGGAATTGGAGGAGGTGTGGTTGCATCACTACATGTTGGGGAAAATAGCAGAAAAGAAACAAGAGCATCCAAAAATTTATTTGGAGCATTATAAACAAGTAATATTTTGGATTTATCTTTAAAATTTTTAATGCAAAATGTTTATATATTTATGCAAAATAATTTTATCTAAATTTTAGGCCGCAAAATACTTACACGAAGACGAAGCGAGATATCCCAAAAAAATTCACTATCATAATCCTCCGGAACTCTCAATCGAAGCATTGGAGGTAATTCTGTTTTTATTTTACTTTTTCTTAATTTAATAAATTATTTAAATATATTAAAATTATAAAAAATTTTTCTATAGATATATTATAGAATTCATGTGTCAATATTAAAGTATTTATTCAAACAAAAAGACGATGCGGTTCCTCAAGATGATTTAGAAATTTTTCAAACGTATTTAACAGAAGCAGCAAATAGTCCTTTTGCTAAATTTCAAGAAAAAAGAGAATTGGAAAGAGAAAGGTAAAAAATTCTTTAATGATGAATTTCTTTAACAATAATTTAATGAAATTATATAATCAATATTTAATGCTTATTTCAGTCGATACACTTCTTTAAGTTCATCAGAAGCAGAAGAGTCATTGGTTGGAGTTTCCGTAGCAAAGAAAACTCGAAAAGCTGCCACTGTTGCCAATGATCATGATTACTTTCAAGGTCAAAGACATACTCATGGATATAAGCCAGAAAGTGCAATGCAGAGAGGACACCGTGTTTCTATCGATTCTTCCTCGGAGTCGCAAGATTCCGCTGCTGTTAAAGACGTGCTGAATTCCATAGTGGCAGTAGTTTCTGAATCTTGTGTGTTTGGCGAAAGCCACAACGGTCCGACTCTCGTGCTCGGCGACCACAAGATTCGTAAGATGGTACCCAAGAAAGAAGAAGTGGTCATGACTCCTGTAATATTAACTGCAGACTCAAACGTATCGAATAGCGATCAGATTCAATTTCAACCGAAACCTTTAACGAATAAAATAGATTTTAGAATGGACAATCCTTTAGCTTCCATCTTGCAAGAAAAGTCGCCCATTCTGACAGAAATACCAGTCTTCCAGAGCGAGAATACCGTCAAAGTACAAGAAACCATAGAAGAATTCCTACTTCCGAAAAGAAAACTCGAACAAGACGGCGAACAACTGTTGACTCCAGTCAAAGAAATTATTAAAAATTTAGAAAACATCACGGATATTAAAAAAATACCGGAGAACATGGAATTAGATAACGAGAAAGTTCCAAACGAATTAAAAATAATCATTATTAAAGACGAACCAGAACCGAAACGTATGCAAAAACATTTTGTTCGTAATAAAAAGCATTCTATACATTTTTTTCATATTTTTATGAATAATTAGATTATATTATTTTTCAGGAATTATAGATGTTGTAGAGAAACAGCCGTTAACAAAGAAAAAGATTGTCGATCAATGCCTGAAAGGGGTAAGAAATTGTTTGCAGCGATTCACACAACACTACAAATCTCTGTATCGCCTTTCTCACTATTATTGTTACTCTGCGGAAGACAAAGTAAGTCTCTTAAAATTTCAGGCAAAATTTTTTCACATTTTTATACAAAAATATATAATTTTCTCTATAGAAGCTCCCGTTATCTCGCGAGATACTATTGGGAATTCCCGCAGGACAGAGCTTCTCCACGATTGGTCATCAGGGACTGTTCGCAGAGAGAAAAAATACAAACTTCTTTAATGTGAGATTTTTTTTAGTTTTTTAAATGTTTCAAATCTGAAATCTTATTCTGTATGTTTGAATGTATGATTTATAGGGAATATGGAGGATTCCCATAGACGAAATAGACAGACCGGGAAGTTTCAGTGCCCACATGTATCGTTCTATTGTTTTGCTAGTCGAAGTTTTACATCAATTGAAGGACCATGTCATGCTCCTTCATCTGACGGTGCAGCTGAGTAGAATTCCGGATCTCGGAAAGTAATCTTCACAGTTTTTTTTTTTTTAATTTACAAATGCCAACGAAGTTTTTATAACGATCCATTTTGATTAACGAATATAAAACTATCCAATTTTAGGAAATATTTACGAGATACCGATCGCACTCATCTAGCCAGAGATACATTTACCAAATGTTTAAACATTCTACGCGATCAATTAAACAGCCTCATGCAGGAAGAACCTCCGCCAGAAGAGGGACGACTGATAACCTGCCTCCTCGACATATATCGGACATGGCAAAGCCTACAGAAGGCTGCGGTCTTTCCGGAATTGGCGAACGAATTGTTGGAAGAGGCTTACAGGATGTACAAGTTGGGGGAGGTGAGTTGAGTCGTCATGCACTCTGCAACAAAACCTCAAGGGCGACAAAACCGTTAATGTCCCTCCCATTTAATTCTAGGTCGATCGCAGTCCGCCGGTACTCGACCAAGCAATCAGATTTTGCCAACTACAGCAGTTGAAACAGATCAATGTAAGTGCGTCCGCATGAAACGGACTAGCGTCGCTCCGCTCAAGAACTCTCAAACTTCTAGTCACTTTTGTTTACAAAAAAAAAAAGCAAGCCATAACATTAATTTGTTATATATCGGATGTGGGTATTAGACGACAGTAACGCAGAAAACAAATCTTAATTCTTTTAACCAGTGTTAAATTTATTTATATTATAATTTTGATTTTAAGTTTATTAATTTTTATTTAATCTTCTTCTAAATCTCTTTTATTTTAGTTATTATTATTTTGTTTTTTTAAAATCTAATGAAAGAATGTTCTACCATTTCTTACAATTACTTTTGTAGTCACAGACCATGCAAGACTTGTCTCGCAATCTCCTGATCTCCGGAATTTTAGTTAAGCCCACTGAGAATATAACAGATGGCTTGGCCACGTCATACACTGCCATCAACAGTACAACGATTACTCCTCCTAGAGCCATTGATGCGGGGCAGACAGGTAAAAAGTTCTGATCTCTTTTCTGCCCCAGAAATTCACTGCCATTTTTCAATGTTTTTTTATTATTTATATAAAATATATATACACACACGAGCGTAAATTTACCTGTTTGTAAACATCACGATTTTTGTTTTTACCTGTGCTTTTAATAGTAATAAAAACAATTTGATTAACTAACTACTTGTGAGTCCTTATTAATTTAATTTTTATGCTGCTCTTTCTCGACATTAACATGTTAATTGTATCGCATAAAGCTTTGTCCCCATCCCCCCTTTTTTTTTGCTATGCACAGTAGAGATTCACATTGCTTATGGTTATTGCTTTTATTTTATTTATTTATAGTTTAATGTCATAAATCTAAGTGTTAAATTTATAATATAGAATCTCTACGCATCCTTTCGGCGAACGACCAGAACTTGGAGGCTTTGGCCACGCTTATTGTTTCCCAGAATTCTACTCTGTCTCTGACTTACATTTCTTCGGTGGAACTGCAGTCGAACGAGACCGTGGCCTCTCAGTCCCGGACTCCCATCGCCGATCTTGGCCGGGCACACGCCAAAAGTCTCTCGCCCTACATCACCTATCCGGTGGTGCTGCCGGAGGCAGGGACTGCGCGTTCGGTCCCTGATTCGTTTCCCACCACCAGCAGGGGAACGGGCAGTTACGTCATGCCCCAGATGCACTTCAACGTGATGAGGAAGAGATGGCAAACTCACGGGGGAAGAAGGCACAGGTTCGGAGGTGTTCCCTCCACCCTCACGAGGCTTCCCACGTCCGTCCCGTCCGGGCACGGAAGCGGGGAGTCGACTCTGCCGTTCGTTCCAGACACGCAAAAACGAGACTGCAGACACATTAATCTTTCGTAAGTGTTTCCTTTTTTTAAACGAGATTAACTGTTTAAAATGCGCAAATTTTACACGTCTAGGTCATAGGTGTATTTTTTTGCCGTTACAAATAGCAGTTTTGTAAAAATATAAAAGTTTGGATAACTGTTACTGTTATTGATCTAATAGATATTTATATCTTTTTTAAGTTATTAATATATTGTAAAATTTAATATTAACTATTAAATCTTGTTACCGCGCAGTCGTCACAGACTATCGTTACACATGTTTTGTCACGATTAAATTCGAAGAGGCAATAATTCGTAACGGCCGCGATTTAAATTGTAATATGAATTTTAAAATAAAATATATCAGTTTTAACAAGTTGTTTTCTTGGCATTTGTATCCAAGAATTCACTTAAACGTTTGTGAAAAATTATAATTTAATTGGTTAAAACTGAACAAACTACGCCACCATCCAAAACTCACGGATGGACATCTGTACACGAACGTGGCAAGAACCGTATTACCCGACATCTAACACAGGCAGAGAGACCCATCGGTGTAGAATAGACACACGTGTAGTCTCGAAATACAGGAAAGTTTATCATATTTTGTGATTTTTTTCAGTTCATATAAATTTTTAAAAATTCTATCCAAACAATTACATATAACCAGAAAAATATTTAGTGTCAACTGTGGTAATTGTTTTTCTCTCAACTTTTGTATGCACATCAGCAACTTTACAGAACCAATAGATAAATTGGTTTCAATTCAATTAAAAAAAAAAGAACAAAATTTGCACTTTTATGGTGTCAAAATATTAGACATATAAATCTGTCAGATTTATGCCAATAATTAATATATTATTTCTAACGGAGTGTGCATATCGTGTTGTGTTTGCTACAAAATCCAACACTAAGTTACACGAAATAGAACATATCTGACTAGAGTACGATACGTAAGAAGGCAGGATCCATTTTGGTGCAATGGCCAAAGCTGTAAGCTGTCTCCGATTAAAGACCATATGGTTTTTCATATTTTTCTCAAAATACTGTAAAATAGTCATCGTCATGTGAATAACGATAGTCTTGTGCTGTCGTTTTTTAATTTTGTACAGAAAACATGAACAACCATCCGCAATGAAATTATATTAGACATATTTTAAAATACATGTCGGTCGAGATATATAATCAGCCACGGCTATATTCTAAAGCCTGCCACAAACTGGGTTTTGCATCGCATGACCATTTGCTTTCGGCTACTGCTGAAGATTGACCGTGCAAGCATACATTGCTAACTGCTGAACAAAAATATCCGACAAGTCAAATATGCTCTTTGCCAAACAGACTGATGTCGAGTCCACCCTTCGATTGCAGGTAAATTTGCTTTGACTTGCTTAAAGACAAGGGAAAATGATCTTGTATTGGATTTTTGGATTTGCATAATTTGTTGCAGACATAGTACATTTTCCTTCATTGTTGTATTAAAGTACAGGATCAGACAGGAAAATGGATAAATAGACTTCCTGTCCCAGGTTGTCCCATCACCACCTCTTGTTGTACTGTACTGTACTTGTGTGAGCATACCAGCAAGTCCCACCGACTTCAGTGCAACATCACCCTCTACTAGACCTTATGTACCATACTCGTAAAGGTCATACAAGTAGTTTATAGTGCTATGCACTAACAGGTATAATACCTTATGTACCACCTCAGGAATGCTATGCACTCCATAAAATAAATTAAAACTGCAGCAAGATGTTTATGGATACTGCTGCTGCTGAAGAACCTAGTGCCTTCTGCGAGCAGGAGGGGATGCCATAAAAACATAATAAAACCCTAAAATACTATACAGAGCCCCATAAAACTTATAACGTAACTAAGTTAAAAATCGGGGCCTTACGTCGTATGTACAACATATCAGTATATCATAAAATCTATATAAAAAAACCAGGTTAAACACCAACCCATAACATCCTATTTAAAACCTTGAATGTGCCGTTATATACCCTCTTAGTGCACATTAAGTTGGTGCAGACCTCACCAAATGCAACACTTAGAGGAGTTAAAGCACATTCTAAGCATAGACTACTCTCAATGTAATTATTACAAATTATATGATCCAACGTAAAATGAACAACAGTTTGCCATTTGTTTTGAAGATGACATTGTGCCAGTGACACGCAGATGCTCTTCCCATCTTCGAAGTGTGTCGCACACAGAGTGGCGCAACGTATTCTCGGGTACGTTATCGATTGCACGACCAATTATTGCCTTAACGGTTTCGATATTTTGCAAACAAAGCGTGTGGTACACGAATACTGTGATCTTGATTGATTGTCCTCATTTGTATCAAAATTATTAGTCTTTTGGTAGTCAGTTTAAGAAAAAAACTAGCATTGTGTCAACTTCTTTAAAAGTAAACTGTAATTTAATTGGTTATTGCATAGACTAGATCAAGGTGATGATTATTTTATTTTGATCCTCCCGAATGATCCATATAGGATTTATTCATCAGAATTTTACTGAAATAATACAGTTTCCGTGAATACTCACCTAGTTATATACTAATGGCCCACTAAAATCTTGCAGCCTAAATTATTATGATGCCAGCACGAATATTTAAAATTTTGCCAAATATTACTGTAAATTAATATGTAGAAATCTCGTTTTCTGTTTTCTCAAAACATTAAAAACTAAGTAACCTCTTTGGTGCCAGTCCAAAGATGTTTTTCTGATGTTTTCGACATCTTTTGGCTTCGAGCGAGAATTGATTGCGTTCCAGATTTGTTTTGAATTATCTAAGTTGGCATTTCTAAATATTTGTAGAATGGCAGAGCACTTTTGGTGTTTCTTTGGTTGGGTGGAGCAATAATTTATGTACGTGCATATAAATAGATGTATCTACTTGCATTTACGCACCACTAACATGCTTGCACGTTAACATAAAACATATAAATTAAGAAAAAAATTTCTGAGCAATTTTTCATGGAACAATAATTAGCGACGTATTAACCAATCTACAGTTTTTAATGGGAGGAAAATACGGAATTCCTTCACTTACGGCAGACATACTGACGGGAAATGTCTGCAAATTCGGCATCTTTTAATTTTTTTGAAAACTTTTTGTCAAGAATTAGTAAAAATAAGGTTTAAAAACACAAAGTATTGTTAGTTAAATGCTGTAGGAACCTATAGGTTTCCAATTTATGGGGGTGAACGTCTACAGCGAGGGTATGCACATTCTAATAAATTGGAAGGAACGGACATACGAACAATAGCACAACTTAAAATTTGAATTTTATTTATTTAACAATAAAATTGTTTATTTTAACAGTCTGATTTTTGCTTTCATTTTATTATACAAATAATATAAAACTGCATTGTTATCCCATACTAGTAAACATATTAACTTTTTGTACAATACCCATATTTCCAGACTATGCTTACATATATATTTGAATTTCTAAAATAGTTTTAAAAAGAAAGACGCCGCAGCATTGGCGACCTCCTTTAAGGTCAACGGAAACTAACAAATCACGTATTAAATAATTAAAAAGAAAATAATAATAATAATAATTAGCAGCTGAAAACTTAACGAGCGAACCGTAAACGCTCATAAAACAACAAAAAAAGGTTTTAATTGTGCAGTAAGTACGTAACTAACTACCAGAATGGCTTTTAAGTATTCTTGTTTTAAATTTGCGCAAGGTGATCGACTGACGGCTTTTTATCCCGTGATTGTGGCATGACATTTATTATTTAAAATAACGAGAAATGACGGGTCGAAATACAGATTCTTACTGTTTACGTCGGAAATGCAGAATGGTCATAAATAATTTAGAGTAAATATTAGTAAGATTATTTACTGTATAAGCGTACAAACTATGTATGACTTGTAAACTCACAACCTTTGTAAATAAAATTAAAATTAATAAATGTAGCTACTTGCATGATAAACGATTCGGGCTGAAGATTTTGTTCCTCTTAAAGAGTTTTTTTTAAATATCACAGGACGTGAAACTTACTTCTTGTCGTTGGGAAGTAATTGATAGTCGTACAAGCTACTAAATAGGAATCTTTGGTGTTTCGGGACAGACTCGAGAATGATCGACGACGGCAATTTCTTGAATAAATGAATCTTGTGTAATTTGAAATTATTTTTTTTTTAGAGAGTTGTCCGGAACGACCGAGCGGCAAACTCGGCCGTACTTGTCTGTCTGAGTGGCGGAAAAAAAAAAGTAGATACTTACTTTATCATCCTGTTGATTTTGGCTGTCTGGTTAAGGCCACTATTAAATGTGCAGTTATCCGGTGCCTTTGTCAAGGAAGAATTATCTTTGTCCGACAAGATAACGTTATGTTCTTGAAGACTAGACACTTTGGACTGAAATGTATTAATATCGTCTGATATCGAATCGTCTCTATCTAATTCTTGTTCGGTTCTATTTACAATAACTGCAGCACCATCTATTTTAATTTTACATTCTGGATCCCTAATGCCGGAGGAGGGAACTGTCAAGTTACTGCAACAGCAGCCGGAATCGTCAGAATGATACGAAGAAGGACGTTTTCTTCTGATGACATGACTAGAGATTTCTGGAGGTACGAGAAAGCGCTCGGTCTTTTTGGGTGCTTCCACAGACCAGTCGATTAAATTATCATCGTGATTACATCTGTGACTGCCATCGCACGTCCCACTGTTGCCATGTGCATTTTTAATGTTACATTTTGAGCAACAGGTTTTGGCACTTGGAGATCCCTTATTTTCTACACCATTTTCTGAGGAACACAAATGATTTACATTCGTTTTGGACTGAATGGAAGATATAAATGGATTATCTTCGGTTTCTGTTGGCGAAAGAGAAGATATCGAAGACGGCGGCTCCGGAGAGACCAGGTGAGGAAATACTAAGATGGGATCGCTTGATATGTCTGAACGGGCACTGTGCATCCGTACCAATGTCTTTCTTAACAGCGTGGGAGACGCAGGAAGAGAACGTGAGGACATACGGCAATGACTGCCCGAAGATGACATCAATTCGTCGGGAGTGACAGGAGTGCCAGGGGGTGTAAAGGCACAAGAAGGAGACGGAAGCTCAAAAGAGCAAGACAGAGAATAATCACTTCCACTTCCTCTATTGGAGACTTGTAGTATCTTTTTCCCTCCATTAAAACAGATGAGAGAAGCAAAAGGATTCTGGTTGCTACTAAAAGGCTTGTAGTCTGGATCTTGGCGGGACATAAATTCCCCTATACGTTTAGCAGTAAAAGGAACTTGAGACTCATCTAAACTTCTCCTATTTTTACTCTTAACGGAACTGGCACTGTCACATTCCATCGTGGCCATCTCTTCAGATCTGGGATGCCAATGTGAAACTGAAAATAAATAAAAACATATTTATATGACGTATAAAGTTTGTGATTCTGAAAAACAAAGGATACTTACAGATGGCCTGAACGTTGTCGATACTATCCGAATCATCATAACAAGAAAGCACTTTTTCTTCTTGCAAGGAACAGTTAGCATCGACTAATAGCGCTTCTAGTTGCTGGACAATTTCTTTAAAAGGTGGACGGTTTTTAGGGTCAATCTATGATAAAAATTCATCAACTCAAAACCTCCATTTCATTTAAATGTTTGTATTTCATAATAAAAAGTGATTCAGAACTTACCGCACAACAACTAAAGGCCAACCTGAGATACTTGAATGGGCAATTTGGACAAAGTAAACTAAATGCTACGTAATCCACACCAAAATTCTATATAACGGCACATAAATATTATATTTATTTTGCATCGTAATTGAGAATTTCACTCTAAACAAAGAGAAAAAAGTCTTCACCTCGGTTCTGGGTAGAATATCCGGATCTGCTTCTATTCTTGCTATCATCTCGCATAAAATTATACCATAAGAAAATATATCAGCCTATAAGTAAACAAAGAAGCTACTGTAATGTTTCTTTATTAGCTATTAATTATTGTGTCATATTCACATATACGTATAAATGAAATTGTTTACCATCTCATTGTACCACTGGCCATGCAGGCATTCGGGAGCCATCCAGTATGGCGAGCCGACGATAGCGAGTCTGCGATTCTTCTGCCTGTAATATTATTTGAATTTACTGTCACAAAAAACTATAATTCATACACAAAAAAAAAACAAATATAAAATGTTCTGTACATTAAAAATTGGAGTGATAATGCTAGTTACAAGTTTGCCGTTTGTCTTGCTTGTTTACTACAAATCTGTGTGTGTCTATATATATAAAATAGTCATCATATGCTATCTGTATCTGTTAAATGTTCATATCTGGTGGTCAAGTACTTTGAAGATGTCTCTAGTTTGCTGAATCACACATTTGAGAGCCACTTTGGGTATGGTTAAGATTGTCGGTGCAATAGAGTTGTTTGAGAAATACTCCAAAGCTACTCTCAAACGACACTATGGCATTTAAGTTTAAAGTATTCTCAGGCAATACTGTTATGTAATTTCGGTGGAATAAACAATCTGAATGAAATTTGCCAGAAATTTCCAAACATTTAAAAATACTGTATTCACACCTTTCAATCACCAAAAGTTTGTCGTAAGCATCAGTTTACTTGCAGGTGTAGGAGCAATTAAATAATTAAAGAACTTTATTGTGATTAGTTCATAAAACAGTTTCCATAAAATTACAGACCTATTAAAATTAAAGTTAGAAAGTTCAGATGCTCCCTCTTTTGTTATTTGCACGGGGCACCGTTTCAAAGTATCACGGATGCTTCTTTATTAAGGTTATGATTATTTTGACGAGGCATTAGTTCCGTCCAAGCACTTTTCGATACGTTTTCCACTCTTTTTTTGCTTTTAAATTAGGTATTTTATTTATTTTTCTATTTATAAATCTGTTAATAATAAAAATTAATGATCTTTTTTTATATTTAAATAGCATGCAGAAAAACTAACTGTGGAGAATATAGAATGATTATGTTCGCAAGTACAGTGCCTTCCTGTTTGTAAACCAATGGATCGGATTCTGAAACTGACTTATTTGATTTTTCTATTTCTTGAGTTTTACATGTTCTGTGTGTACTTATAAGTGCAATAAAATAGTTTTCAGGAGCACTTTTTCACAAAAATTTATCACTTTTTAGTCCTTTTTAAAAGGAAACTTGCATCTAAACTTCCGGAATATAATTATAAACTATAAATAATTCTACTTGTAAACCAGTTACAAAGTATCTGTGGTTAAAGAATGGGAGAAAAAGCAAACAAAGCTGTTAAATATTTGATTTTTCTATTGTTTTCCTAATTCACATTTGACTCATTTAAATTGTATACTAAACAACCATTTCACGAGAAAAAAAAAATCTGGCACAGGAAATTACATTCCGACGGACAGATTTTCTCAAACAATTTTCAGAACAAAGTGTTGAAAAGGGAATACAACTACAATAAACAAAAGACAATAGAAAGCATAAAAATCGGTGTTTTATTTATTGAAAATCGGGAGATTTTAATTAAAAATATAATTACGAAAAAGCTGTATTTTATTCAAACAACTTAATCAATTTGTAACTTGAAATGTAATTTTAATTTATTGCAATAAATTCGAGTATATAATAAATAAAAATTGCAATTTGACACGTTCGGATGGATGAAAACTCGACAAAATAACGTTAATTTTTGATAAATTTTCTCGAGTTTAAGACATTGTAGACAACGGCATTCGTCCTTATAAAAAGATGAAGTGGAATAACATCTAAAGCATCATTGTATTATATATATATAAAGTTATGATAATACTTTAGCTTTAAATAGTAAATCTGAGCGATGTAATCAGGTTGACATTGTTACAATCTCTAGGTCAGGAGAGTAAAGATCATTACGGTTTGTATTCTAACATATGTATTTCCTATTACTATAGTATATCTGGAAATAATATTTATAAACGTCAACTAAAAAACCCGACATATAGTTAAAGACAAACAAACTAGTTGCGGGCTAGAGCCCCGCTTCGGGCCAATTCTTTTCTTCCAGGAAAGTTAATTTATAATTATTAAATCTAGCGTAAGATGGCAACGTAACTTCCTACCTCTAGACAAATTGTTTAGTATTTAATTAATTACATAGCCATATCACATCCCGATAATTTGACAGTTTGTTTGGCTTACTTCTGGAAAATGAACAAACTTGTGTGTGTTTAATAAATCGTATAACAACCTTGAATCGGGAATCTTCTCGGCCAGTCCAAAATCTCCGATGACGGCAGTGTACTCGTCACCTTTCTTCACGAGGACGTTCTACAGAAAATGCCATTATTTCCATGACGTAATTCCAAGTCTTCAGAAAACAATTCTTTACCAAAAAAAGCACTAACCTTAGAAGTTAAATCTCTGTGAAACACACCTCTCGAATGTAAATAGCACATTCCTCTGGCGATATCTAGAGAAATTTTAATTCTAGCCGACCACGATAAGTCTTCTTTCTTATTTAGTATCAGCTGTTCCAAACTTCCGCCATTTATATACTAAAAAAAAGAAAAAAAAACAAGGAAGAAAGAAACAACAAAAGTAAGTAAAATAGGAAAAAATACAATCGTTGAGTCAATTTTGTTAAATGAACCGTAAATTTAGCTTTATGATTTATTTTTCGAAAATAATTTCCTAACAGTAAACTGAATGAAAGCATCAGGTGTTGAAAAAAGTTATTGGATCGTTTCCAAATAACAGAAAATAAGCAAAAGTTTCCAACAAAACTAAAATATTTGCCTTGTCAGCAATCCAAAATAATAAAAAAAGCCTCGTTATGTAAAAAATTTAAATATAAAAAATAATTATCTGCACCGAATAAATCACAATTAAATATAAAAATGCATTTAACCGTTCGTTAAATGCCTTGTACGTCATCCGACAAACTCTATTAAATTAGCTATACGTTAACGAAAATAAAACTTAAAATTCGAAACTACAGAAAACGGAAAAAAAACTTACTTCAGTCAATGCATGCAATTGTCCTTCGTGAACACATACACCCATAAACCTGTGAAGAGAAATTCTATAAATAAACTAACAATACTTACACAATAACTTATTCACGAAGGTATATATCCATTGTCAAAGTCTTTTTACTGGCATCGAGCATGCCAAAAATCATTTTAAAAGTTATTTACCCCAATTATAATTGTAGAACGACAGTTCGAATACTTACCTGAGTATGTTCGGATGAGATAATCTATTCATCAGTTGCACTTCTCTCAGCATGTTCGATCTATTGCTGTGCGACATGTTCATTTTCAAAACCATCACTTGACCCGTCGTGCGATGGCGGACCTTTAAAGTTTAACGTGCGGCATTGATATCGATTTTGATACACAAATTTTTGCTCTCGTCCCGAAAGCACCGGTTATAAAATTACAGAAAATATATTAAAAATTGCATCCGAATCAATTTAATGTATATTTTTCCGGTTCATTAACTTTTAACAGAAAGCTAACCAAGAATTCTTCAAACTATTGATATAAACAAACAAAAACTTCTATTTATATTACGCTGCCAACAGTACTTAGTCTATTAAAAGCATAAATTTTCAAGATGTTTTAAAATGTATGTGTATTGTTTCTGCGACACGTTCGTCTCCGGATAATTCGATTTTTTAATATTTAAAACACATTAAAAAATTAATTAATTAATTAAAATAAACTCGCTCGTCGTTTTTAAATCCATTTCGTACAAAAATTTGCTAATAAAAGCATATATTTTCATATTATTGTTTAAATAAATGGCAGTTTCTTCCGGAATTTATCTCGTAATCCATATTAAATGAAGCAGAAAAGCTTTCTGCAACAAATAGAACAAATAATCAATAATCCTGTTAAACATTGATTTCTGCAGTAAAGACGATTAGCCACCGAAAATCAATAAATTTAAATTTATTCTGATAGAAGGTTTACTAAACGAATATTAAACCGAATTATCGAAATTAATTTAATGCGGCGATCGTAACTAGATTTAATATTTCGATATCTGCGGCCGATAAATTTGACGTTCCGGTACGTTTGTTAGCGTTAAATTCTGTGGAGATTAAGAAACGAAGGACTCGCTTACCTTAAATACTTCGGAGAAGAATCCGGATCCAATTTTCTCGCAGGTGAAATCATCTAATCTACTTAGAGCTGCCACCGCGTGCTTCAGAGCTTGGCAAGACGAGCCGGGAGTTCCGCAAAATGCGTTTTTGGGTGGAGGGTAGATTCCAGACTCGTTCGAAGAGATACCATCCGCTCCATCTACGCTACTAAGGAATTTATCTCCCATTTTTGGAAGGGATGGATTTTTCTTAAAATTTCTTTAACAAGTGACATATAGATTCCAACTAACATAGTTAGCCTTCGCCCAAATGAAGAAACAAGTTGAATTTTAACAATTCAGTCTACCTGCATTTAAAATTGTTTTCTCAGTTAATAAGTAAAATAAAAATTCTATTGATTTTTGCAAATCGTGTCGCATGATACGCTATAAATATTTAAGAGAAATGCCAAATTCGGACAGCCTTTTGCATGTAAAGCGTTAAAGCAATTCAAATATTTTGACTTAATAAAATACATTTACGTGTTAAATTTTAGCATAACTAATTTACTTACGTACCACACAATTTTAAAAATCTAATCTTATCATTTATTTACTTACAACTACGATTAAATGACGACGACAAACAAATACATAACTAGTTAAATAAATAAAAGATAATCACTTTACTACAAATAATTTTTATCGACGGACTAGATATCACAGAGAAAACAAAGTGGACTAATACATACGATAAATCGGTAATTTTCAATGAATTATTATAAATATTTCATTTTCTATACAGTCGAACGACGTAGAAGGGCCTAGTAGGCCCGTCCTCGTTCAAAATACCTAGGGCCTACAAAGCCAAACTGTACCAATGTGATTATGCACCAAAAATATAATTATAATTTAACGATTAATTATATTATATAATTAATCATTAAATTATAATTATATTTTCCCATAAACTGGACGTTGCTTTAGTCTTTTAAGTCAGGTGCTTGCGAAAACGTAGAAATTTAAAGTAATTTCATTTGTCAGTTATAAAATCCGCAATTTAAGTTGTTCGATACGTAATTACGAAATTAAGTTTGGAGAAACTGACAATGAAATGCATATTTAATCATAAAAAAATAAGAAAATTCAGTGCTGCAGAGTGTTAAATATCATTTCAGTTAATTAATGATACGTGATTTTACTAATGAGGTTTGGGAAACCTTGAAAACGATTTTTTCAAGAAATACAAACTTCTCAGAAAAATAAGAATGCTATCTGTTTAATTTTTAAATAGAAATTCTGGATTATACTAGTAAAATATAAATATAGGATGCAATAAACAAGAAAGAAAATTGAGAAATTTAGGCAGACACATTGATAATCTCATTCCCAACATACATCTAATTAATAGAGACAAAAATCAATAACCTGGAAGACGACGTAAACATTTTGTTGCTTCGTCATTCAGACGACAACAACTGATTTTCCAACAATAAATATATTAAAAATATAATACTTTAAAACAATTTCTACTAATTTCTGAAGCAGTTGACTTTAAAAAAACCACATCGGAGCTCGAAAAGTACAGTTATCGAGTGCTATATTTTCAACAGTCGAATAACGCACGTGCATATCTAAAGTAATATTTCGACAACTCTCACAATAAGCACTTTATAATTAAATAACCTACTTAAATATTATTAAACTTTTGAAAGCTTAAGTATTAATTATTAATAGTAATAATAATTTGATTTAAATTGTACTCTTATAAAGGAATGTTTTTATTTATGAAACATCGAACTTATCTAAATGACGTTTATAAACTTTACACTTTAAGTTCATAAGTAAACATGTAAATGAATTAATTCGAATTCTTACTAGCGCTAAACAACAACCTATTGGATTACATTACCGAAATAAGGAATAGTCTGTCGTAAGCGACAGGCACAAACGTAATGTAATTTACAAACAATAATATCCTGTGATCTACGAGTTATGGAATTGCGAAGACCAATACGGTTTAAATTAGGCTGCAAAATTGTTTTCAAATTTAATTTTTCTGTTATTATTAAATTCCTAATAGTTTTCTTAATGACGTAAACGATGAAAAAGGAAATGAGAATGAGAAAAATATTATAGAATTGGAAGGAAATAATCTTTCTGTGATTCTGCAGAAAAATATTTTACCTATATTTAAGGTATATTTAAACAATTTCGACAGCGAAGGAGGAAATGAAAGATGTAGATCGTCCGACAGGTTTTTCTCTTTCTTGTTTTTTATTTTTTTTACCTTAATATAAACAAAAGTTACATTTAATGTATCAGGAAAACAGAAAAATTGGCATACGTTCAGATATTTTAACAAGCAAATATCGAGGCGTTTATAAATTAAACTACCGACAGTCCCTCTAATCAAACCAGCTCAGATTTTAATTTTAAAAAAATGGAAGTTATAAAGTAATTTTCTTCCCGATCCTAACATTAGCAATACATATGAAGATCCTGTACATTATGATAAGCAACTTTTAAATAATGCATTTTGTTATTCGTACAGAAAACGTAAATTAAAATACATGTATTGGGAAACCGTTTTATAGGGGGAAAAAAAAGAAAATTTTATTTAAAAATAAAATCAAGGCTACGACGGAATTTTATCACATGCTGAGATATCATATAATAAATTATTGTAAGTACCATCTTCAGCATTTTAATTATAAAAATATTCTAGTCTCGAATTCATTTTATAAATAATTCTTGCCAATGCAAGTATATTTTCTTGCCGAAGGACAATAAATAGCATCGAGATAAAAACCAGTAGGCACAATTTACTTTATTTAATTCGTTTCACGACTTTAAACCAGAATAAAAATGCAAATACGGACGTCGAGAGACAAGTTGACATTTTAATAATTTATCGGTAAGAAATTTTATCTGTTTTCGAGTATAATCGATCATCACGCTATTGATTTTTTTCGGTAAACATCTCGCACAAATGCTACCGTTTAATTAAATAAAACGTATATCAATAACGTGTGTAAATTTAATCAATACAACCGGAACGTTATTATTAAATTGGTAAACACGGCCGAAATTTATTTATTTTTAAATGCTTACAAAACTCGTCACTTAACAGATACAACCCAGAGATTAGATCGTTCGTCATTACGTTTGCGCATTAATTTTATCAATCCAGAATAATTAAAACAGCAAAATTTCTACAAAACAACCCTCCTAACAAATAAATCTAGCAACAATCAAGTTTAATTACATATTTATTCAGTTTTTCACTGAAAGAAGACACTTAAGAAGAAGAAGAAAAAAAAATTACTAATAAAATAAACACAGTTACTATAATTAGAAATTGCAAATTGTACTTATCTAACAAGTTACGTAACATTTAATTATGTATTATTACTTACAACGTGGCATAAAATCTAGGAGAGCGATAACAAAGTTACTTATCCTGATTTAGGAAGCAATAAAATGTCAAAATCTAAATCACACGGTGGCGTCTTATATGTTTGCAGGGAGCCCCGCATATGGCGTCGACTCCGAACACGTTCCTCTGGGGGGATTCTCCTCAAATTCCCTCGTCCTCTTCCGTTTCTCGACGCCACCTCCGGCGGGTTAAGTTCCAAGCTGTGCCGGTGCACCCCGCACCCGCGAATTTAAATTTTGACATTCTTACTGCGGCGACGAATTTATAAAAGACTGGTTCAGGGCAGCGCCGGCGGGGGACTCCGGCCAGAAAATTCAAGCACTCATAATGCAAAAAACTTTCAGTATTTAGCGAGATGATGATTTGTATTAACAAAATAATGATGATTAGGTTATTATTTCTGTATATTTTCCATAACAAACAATAATTCACATGCATTAAGATGATTTAATTACACTTAACACAAACTAATTTATACTTAAGCAGAGAATTAAAGAGCAATTAAGCTTAATTAAAACTGTTATAAAGTCATTTTAAAAAAAATCACTTTTTTATTACTAAATTAAGATTTTTTCTCATTTAATTTAAGTTAAATTCATCATATTCTAACAAACTAAATAACAATTAGGCCTAATTCAAGTTCTTAATGCTAACTTCATTAATTAACATGTTTAACAAGATTTTACTTACACATTTATATATACACACAGACACACACACACACACGAAAAAAAAGATGGCGAAGATTTAAGTTATTTTCATTATTATCGTTATTATTATTGCGAATTTTAAGCGTGAAGAGTTCGTGTCGGTTATAATTAACACGAAACATAACTAAATGCGATTGCAATTACATCCCGAACGATTTCCTCTCTGATGATGAGTGATGCAGATTATCAAAGATGCGATGCCATTACTGATGCGGTTTAGTATCGATTTTCGTCGCTAGGGGAGGGTCGATCGTTGAATTTTTAGTAAATAATTTTTTTTTCGTAAATTTTATTTTTTAAAATTATTCTGTAGTATTGTAGTCAAAATTATTATTATAATAATTTAAATTTGGGCCATATTCTTAATAATCTAATGAGTTTATAAAAGATTGGTTTGGGCCTCCTCCCCATGTAATCGCTCGGTTAATGTTTATCTAGGTAGTCCAAGATGGCCGCACAGTGGGGACCCACATTTTAACCTAACCTAACTTATTCTAATAAATTAACAAAATTACTAATGTAAGATGTAAAATAACTCAAAAAATTAATTATATGAAGAAAGGAAAATTTTGTTAATTTATTAGAATAGGTTAGGTTAGAACGTGGGTCTCCACTGTGCGGCCATCTTGGACTACCTAGGTAAACATTAACCAATTGCTTTTTTTTTTTTCTTGCCCATAGGATAGCGCATTACAGTGTTTTCGTTATTGTTAATAATTGATTGATTGAATTGGTAGTTTGGTGAAGGAGATGAAAACCGAAAATCAAATATTGAAATTTTGATGCCAATAACATTTGGTGGTCGGTGTTTTATTAAAAAATTCAACAAAGTTCATGTATAAAAGAGAGGCTGCGGCCGAAGTTTTCATATGTAAAACGTGAACGTCGAACGTCGAGCGCTGCTTACAAGATAGCGGCGCTCGACGTTCGACGTTCACGTTTTACAGGTGAAAACTTCGGCCGCAATCTCGCTAAAAACTGCGCCATTTTCTATCTCGAAATATCTCCGTACTGAATGGTTATGGTTTTTTTTTTTTTTTATTCGTTTACGGTAACTCAACACGTGGCGGTATGCCAAGGAAAAATTGCTTCCTACGGAGGTCTTTTCTGGAAAACTGGCCCCCTATTTAGGAGTTACAAACGGAAAGAAAACCCGGAAAACACCATGTGGTCAGCTCCTGAACCCACCACCAACAAATGTTCGGTGGTTTTATCTACCCAGCCGCTGAATTTTTCGCAAAAATTTGGTTATTTTTATCACTTTTTCTTCTTTCTGTATTTACTGTGTTGAACACAAGTCTTAAGATGTATTCACCATGTAATCTATGGCTTACCATTACGAGCTATCTGGCCCACAATGGATTCGGCCAGCATGGGTAAAGGATGGAGAACAATGGCACTAACCATACTGCCCATGATAAATTATTGAGTAGGATTTAAACCCGAATCCTCAAAGGAGGTATGCTCTGGACAATCTATTATCGTACTTCATAACTCGAATTATTCACCAAAATTAATCTCTGTGTAACATTAACAATGCGATAACATTTTATATTCCTTTTGATTATTATAATCACTTACCTGGTATTGAAATACATCTATAGTAATAGCGCAAAGTCCGATTTAAAATGAGATTCGAACCCTGACTCATCCGCAATGCACTTGGTCACAAATCGAAGAGATTCGATGTTACTGAAATTTGTATCAGTTTTTCTCATAAATGTGCTTATTATTATATTAGGAATTTTTAATAAAGCCAAATAAATTGATTAAAATTCTTCATTTATTAAGATCTTATAATAAAATGTTTGATCATCCGCCGTATACATTGTCCCGAAATCGAAATATTGTGAGGTAGCATTGCATGGACACCCAGCAAAAACGATCGTATTAACATGTATCCGTAATGTTCTGTGCCGAGATAGATGGCACTACTGTACGTCACGAACTGAACACACAAAATATAACAGTATTGCACAATAGTATGGCATATGTACTGTACCTCAGGCAAAGTCATAGTAGATACTCTGAGTGCCCTCCGTGATCTCAACGCAAGCGATCACACATCGCATCATGTTCAGACTCGTCTTTTCAAATATTCTTGCCTTTATCCGAACAGCATCCACGCGCTACTTCAATATTCTCATATTGCAGCGTACATGACAGTTTTTAGGTGTGCCTCCCAGGGCCGTGGAGTTGCGTAAAAATCTACCGACTCCAACTCTTCCTTACCAATCCGACTCCGGCTAAAACACCAAAACTCCACGACTCCGACTCCACAGCCCTGCCAGGGCTGTAGAGTCGCGTAAAAATCTACCGACTCCAACTCCGACTTTTCCTTACCATCCGACTCCGGCTAAAACACCAAAACTCCACGACTCCGACTCCACAGCCCTGCCAGGGCTGTAGAGTCGCGTAAAAATCTACTAACTCTGACTCTTCCTTACCATCTGACTCAGACTCAGGCTAAAACACCAAAACTCCACAACTCCGACTCCACAGCCCTGGTGCCTCCACAAGTAAAAATCAAGGGAATTAGGGTGCCACACAATTGGCACTCTTACAATGTATTACTAAGTTTATGCAATATAAATTACCAAGTCTTTGCTTATGTTGCAGAATTTATACATTACAAGAAGAGTTTTTTCAATACAATATACATAAAAAGTCCCACATAAATTCTGAATCCATTATATCAAGCTCTGATAAATTTACATTTACAATTAAATTAAGCATCTGAGATTATTATTATTAAGTAAAATTCCATTATATCACTATACTAATCACAATCATTTATTATAATTATTTACAGCTTAATTACAATTAAACATAATGATAAATTGTGTTGATGATGCCTAAGGTGGATTTTATAGGAAATGCCTTCAACATTCTTATAATGTTTAGACATTTGCCTAGAAATTTTATAAATTCCTTAAGAAAATATATTTTAGGATAGATTCTGTAGTTTTAAAAACATTGTCTTTTTTTTTTGTACAGTTTATGTATTATGTGATGAGTAAACTCTATTAACAAACAGGAAAAAAGTAAAAAAATAACTTACAAAATTTTATAATTTGGAATTTTTCCTGATATCATTATATTTAACTACAACTACATTATTTTATTACACTTACATTATATTATAAAAACAGTAGTAATTTCCTTTTGTTGTTTTATATAATTCTAATATTTATTATAATTAATAGCTACATAAATTATAAGGTTAATATATCAACTTAAAATAAGAGAATATCTTTTGAAAAATGTACAGTAGTTAAACTAAAATTTTTTTTGTTATGTAATGATGATATTGTATACAAATTAGAATGATTTTAGTGTTGTAATAGTAATTCTGTATGATTGTCATCATACAAATGTATATATGCGCTTCGATAAAAATGCTTATTTCGCATGATGTATTGCAAATTTCTTACACGAAACCTTTAAATATATTATGTTTACGGGATCTTGGCATACAAATGGAATCGGAACAGTAAAAGTATCATTGGAATGTCTTTGTTGTGTTTCGTATTTCTAGATGATGTATCAATGTCGAAGACTATTGTAGGGATTCTTTAGGGAGATCTTCATGTTCTTAATCTTGATTTGTGCTCGAAGCTTCTTAAATCACATGATTTGATAAATCCGGTTTCAGGTTTGGTTTGGTTTTATGGCAACGGCAACACGTGGGCAATCTGACAAGGGGAGATACCTCCCGGGAGAACTTTTACGGGAAACTGACCCGTTTAGGTGTTACTAATGTGAAGAAAATTCCGAAAAATCCGCGCGACCTTTACAAGAATTTTACAGCAGGGAGAATGAAGATTAAACACAATACATTTGAACTTAAAAAATTAGATTTGCATTAGCCAAAATGATGTAGACAATTAGATTTAAATGACATTGACGACGACTTTAAATTTTTGAGGGGACAAATGTTGAGTCGACTGGTCGTTCTGCGGAGTTACGAGGACATATCGTGCAATTTATCGTCCGGATTGTCGAAAATACACTGGAGAATTTAAGGCATGAATTTGATTACTGCATCAATGCACATATTTACAGATGAGGTCCATAATTAAGGACTATAGGATACCGTTAAAAATGTTGATAATTTTTTATTATAGAAACTATACAGATGATTTGAAATGAAATTTGTTATTGCTTTCATTTAGACTAATCTCATATCAAACTGTACATATCATACATTGTACACATCAAACTAGAGTCAAGTCTAGTATGTAAACTAACTAGTATTACTACAAACTAGACATTATCATATCAAACCCAAGACTGTCAAGAGATAGGGGAGCCAGAGATTTTTCCCCAGGTCCACAGAAAAATTAGGAGCCTGTAAATTTCCTACACCTATAAATTAATGTTACCTTTACTAACAAAAATATAAAATCTCTAAGACTGTCTTTTATTAACAAAGAAAAGAAACATTCCACACATTTGTTTGAAAAAAAACGTTACGGGACGGAAGCCCAATCTATTGTCGGGCCCCGTACGAACTCTCGATTATAGATGTATCTAGTCTGTAGCTAGACTTGTCCAGTTTGATATTTTACACACAACAATAGAGTAATGCATTTATGTTTCAGTTATTTTCTTATACACTAAAACGCAAAGCCATTAATGCTACAGATACAAATATTGTTGTAAAACTTTATTTATAAGCTCAAGCTTGACAGTTACAAAGCATAATTATATGTCATACATCTGTATTATATTTTAAAAATAAAACTAATTAAAAAAAAAAGGAACAAAAACATAAAAATTAATTCCAAACATCACATTAGCCACTTGCAATGAACACTGTCATCAATAAATACACACTAGAGAATTTCTATAACCTACAATTTTTACAATTTTTTAATTTTTTTTTAAATTGGCATCTGCACAGTATGAGCACTTTTTTTTTATATAGTTTATTATATATATATATTTATTNGATATCCGATATTTATTCTAATGAATTTTGTTAAATTACAATTTTCACTTGTTACACGCTCACATCTCTAAAATATTAAAGTGCTCGTAGCTCAAATGAAAATTAATATACATAAGTTTCAGACAATGTAATAATTGTATAAACTATATTTTAAACAAAAAATACTTCGAGTCCACTATTAGGAAATAACACTCGATGGGCTAACTTTATTCACTTAGCTTAAGTAAAAAAAAAAAAAAAAAAAACGACAATTTACAATATATGGTGCATCT